TTTCTTGACAAGATTTATTTTCTTAAAAACCAAATATCAAAAAGATATTATTCTTTGAGATAATTTATCTTTGTTAAATTTCCTAAAAGATTTTCTCCAAAAAGATTTACTTAAAAATTGTGTTTTTGGATTTAGGAATTTAACTTGCATTGTTTATCTTTTAAAACCCTACTTTCTATACAAGCAAGTCTTGTATAAAACCGAAAATTCATTTTCTGTGAGTTTTATGCGTGAAGAAATCTAAGTGTGCTTAATTGTGTAAGTTTGCTAAGCCCTTTACTTCGTCATATTTGTTTCGTATTTCATGCTTAGCTTGCCTCTCATATATTAGTGTCTTTACTTTGTAATTGGTTGGGTTTTCGAGTGTGTGTGTGTGTAATCATCCTTGCATACAATAGTGAGAGTAGTACTCAGTGAGTACGAATGGATCTAAGTTAGGGATTTAGATTGGGTAGGATAGGGTCCTCTGTGTAGCAAGTTCATTCTGGAACTTGTGAGCATAGGTCTGATTATAATAGGTTTGTAACTTGTGAAGTTTGCTCTATTATAGTGCATTGGTTTGGTTTTGAAATCCCTTATAAGGGTCGAGGTTTTACTTTCAGTTGGGCCCTGAAAGGTTTCCTCGTAAAATATTGTGTGCATTGCAAGTTCCTTTACATTCTGTTTTACATTTTGCGAAAAGTAGTCAATAGGAACTCACATACAATTCACCTCCCATCTTGTGGTGTTCGTCTCAACTAACAGTGTTAATTAAAGGTAGTATCATTTTAATTGTACATATTTTGCAACAATTTTGAATATTTTGTGTGACATTACAAAATTTCAAGTTATTATGGAGAAATTTGAGAGAGAGAGAAAATGAAGGAAATTTTAGATATAGAAAATTGGGAAAATAGAAGTTTTAATTTCTTTCCAGTGTGTAAGTAAAGTTTGGTTACTTAAATCAATGATAGGCAAATCATAACCTTTAGATTTAAGTTATTCCCAACGGTATCATATAAATTATGTTATTCTTATGATTGAAAAAATGGTAATAGCTAAATTGTACTCCCTCAGTGTTTTTTTAAGTGTTACACTTCTCATTTTCGGTCGCGTTTTTTTAAGTGTTACACTTCCTTTTTTGGCAAAAAGCTACATTCAAATATTATATTTTTCTCCTCTCATGGTTCCCACCCAAACACACTACTACTTTTATATTATACTAGCATAGTGCCCGTGCATTGCACGGTTTATAAATCAAATCATTATTTTTTTGACAAAATTAAAGCATGATTGATCCCGTAGGAAAAAAAATCCTAAGATAATTCAAATAGTAATAAAGAGCTTATTTTCTCTAACAATTAATTATTAAAATTTTGTCCAGCTGCAATAAAGGCTGATACGTAAATAAATTAAAGAAAGATGTGATTTGAATAGTATTTTATGTCATTTGCAGTTCTTTTCTTTTATTCCCTATTAATTTTTTTTATAATGTTATTTATTATAATTGAAAAATAAATTAATTATTTTGCCCCACATAACTTTGTAAGAGAAGTAGAGGAAAAACTAAATTTACTTATCATACATTCCGCATATTACTATAGAAGAACAATAGAAGAAAAACTAAAATTTTAATTGTCATACCATCTATTCAGTATCTATACAATTTAAAACTTGTTATACCCGTCGCGTTCACTATCTACAAACACAATAATAACCTTATATCTTATTCACCGTAATAACCTATTTTACCCGCCATATTTTACAGTTATCTAAGCTAAGCATTGTGTCAAAAACTTTTACATAATATCCATATAACTAATCAACACAAATATATAGAAATGGTTATTGATAAATTTTATATGATTAAAAAAAATATCTATTAAAATAATAAGAATTAAAGACATATTTTATCAACTAACCAATCATTTATGTAATGCATTTTTTTACGGACATGTATTCTTATAGAGTAACTAATTAACTATGAATGTTATAAAACTCATAAAATTACATGTTAAATTATTTAAATTTTGAATATGAGCATTACAAGAGTAAGAAAATTTGAAAATTTTATAATGAGAATATTTTTCATACAAATTTCATTAGATATTATCTATGTTAAAACCATAAACTATTTTATGTATGCATCATTTTTTGGCATAGTTTTGCTTAAGTATAAAATATATTGATATAATTATTGTTTACATATTCAAGCATAGTATTTTTGTTAAACTTCAAACAATAAAAGCAAGTTTCTATACATGTATAAGATTTTCATGATTTCCTAACATAAATATTGATTTAATTTTTTTATAATAAATATATACTTTCCAATACTAGAAATATTCCATAAAGTATTTTCAATCTTTATTTATAGTCAAGTTAAAGAATAATACTGTAACTAATTTGAAGCAATATTAAAGTGGCATAATTTAGGAAACAAATATTTCGTATTTTGAAAGACTAATATTGTTTTTTTTTTAATGAAATTTAAATAAAATCTATAGAATTTAGTTTGAAATCAATTATGAAATCAATAAAACCATTTAAAAAAAAATCAGATGTACAATAAAATATTGTGCACCTATTATAAAAGCTACCCTGTAATGAATGAAAGTTATTTATGCTTTATTGATAAAAGTTACCCAAAATAGTCTAAAAATTATCCTAAATTCAATTCAAGTAATCGGTTGAATACAAAAGTTTTTGATTAAGATACAAAATAGTGTAAAAATTACTTTTATCGTTTGTTGTACTAATATTGAATGCTAAGCCGAAATGTTGTCTTGGAAAATAATACATAATCTTGAACAAAAATTTAATTTTAAACGACCTTTCATTTTCTATACAATGTCTTTTACAATGACCTTTTGTTTTTCTTGCATTAAAAATAATAATAAAAAAAAAAACCTGAACTAATAGCCAATCTAAAGAAGAATAATAAAAGTTAAATTGAATTAGACACTTGACGGAAAAAGGATAGATATAAAATGTATTATAACTATTACTCGTGTTTTAAATTGTAATATTCGTATAAACAATGCTATTCTAGATATACAACAATCATGTGCAATAATTTATGTTGTTTTATACATAATAATGCTTTTAACTATAATAGTATGTGTATATGATATAATATTTTTTATAATATAAAAAAGTATATGTACGTATATAATATAATATTTTATAACACGTGTCCTCCATACCAAGTGTTTGGTTGTTGGTGTAGTGATGATTGAGACTACACTTGGTAGGGAGGACCTGTGTTCGCTCCCTTACAACAATCGGAAGGGGTGTGGAACCTAATAGCCTAGAAAAAATCCTCAAATCTGGATTAGCCCAAAGGGTGAACCGGATAGAACACCCAAAACTCAATGCATATTTGACGGGAAACTTATCCTTTATCAATCTTATACAGAACTCCAAAGTCTAATTTTTTTTTCAAAATATAATAATAACATTTGTAAATTTTTGTTAATATGAAAGATATAAACCTATGCTATTCAAAAAAAAAATGAAAGATATAAACCTACCAAAATGTATTATTCAATTATTTTTCAATTATATAGCTATGTGGAGTTTTATTCAATTAATAAAATAACATTATAAAAAATTAAAAGAAATTCAAATAACATAAAATTTTATTCAAATAACGTTTCTTTAATTTTTTTAATTTTTTTTATTCTTTATTTTTTTTTAATTTTTTTTATTGATCATTAGTAACCAAGTCATTTAATAGTAAATGAATTACCTTTGTTTTTATTTTTATTTTTCCTACGGATTTAATAATTTGATTTATAAATCGTGAATCGCACGGGCACTATGCTAGTTATAAACATAATATTCTAGGGAGAATATGAATTGCCATACATACATATGTTGTTTTGATTTTTTTATACTAAGATTTTTTTATTGTTATGTAGCTATTATTATGTACATATACTAACATATTTTATGATACTTTTCTTAATATACCGTGCATGTGTATATGTCTATTACTTTACTATAATAGACTTTACTATAATAGTTTATGTATATATTTAGAATAAAATATTCAGATTTTTTTTATACATATGGAAACATAAATGTATAATAATAATAATAATAAAATTAATAAAAGACAGCGAATCATAATGAGACATATGTCAGTCTCATATTGAGGCGTTTGTCTTTTAGTATAGTATAAGATAGATATAGATAGATAGATTTTTCCTTTCACATTCATTACTTTTTAATAAACTATTAATCCCACTATTTTTCTTTTACAATTTTTTAATACTTCAACTACCCCACTTACCTAAAATTTTCTTTAAGCCTATTAAATTGTCTAAAACTATATGCCAGTCAAATTGTAACACTTAAAAAAAACACGGAGGAAGTAGATTTTTTGTTAATTGTCAAGCCACTAGAATTGTGACAATGACATGGCAGCAAATTTAAATAGACAGAGTTGAATATATAGCCGAATAGTGAAGGCTTGGTGAGCGTTTCCACGCTAATCAATAGTAGTAATCGTAACAAACAGGTTTCCACAAAATAGAATTTTAAAACAACTGCAATAATTATAAAACAAAAAGTGACAAGCACGTAATTGATACCAGTACCTTTTTTTTAACAAAGGTTTTGATACTATTATTGTTTAGACTTTTCTCCATTCTTGTTAATTGTTCTTGACTTCTCATCCCACATAAGTTAAGCACTACTAAGAAGTTTCCTCTAAAAACATACTTCCACCATTTCTATTTACTTGACACATTTGATTTAGGCACATATATTAAAAAGAGAAAAGAGAGTGAGAGAATAAAAATAGTAAGTAAGGTAGCTTGTAAATGAGGTAAAAAGTTACCTTAAAAGGAACGTGTCAACTAAAAAACTTCCTAAAAAGGAATGTTTGTCAACTACTACCTCCATTACAGGTTATGTACTTATGTTCAACGATTTGACATAAATTAAAGAGAAAAAAGTTTAATCAATGCACATAACCTGAAAAGAAGGTAGTAAAAAGAAACAGAGGTAGTATATCGAGTAGTTTATCCATCTATTTTAAAATGGAGTAGCTTACATTGTTTGACAATACAAACTTGTTTTTTTTTTTTTTTTTTTTTTTTTGAAAACACAATACACACTTGTTAGTAAAATAAAATTGCAATTTCCCAAAAAAAATTACAAAAAACCTTGTCACGGTCGGCAATTTCGTAAGGTGCTTCCAGCAAATCTGCATACTGTTTTCGCAGTTTCTGGGAAGTACCAACATAAGCCAAGGCAGGTATAAAAGAGAACATAAAATCCTAAAGTCTCCTTAACAACAAAAGAAAAATCTACACATTATTCCTTTTTTTAATTTGAAAAACACATTAAGCTCCACATTCTCTTATCGCTGCCAAAATATAGGTCAGTATTTCTTTTCATATTTGTGGTTTCTATATTTTTATCAAATCCTTTGTACGAGTACTTGTTATTGCGCTCTTTTCATTTTTCGCGGTTTATTACCATAATCCAACATCAGCTGAGAACTTTTAGTACTCGTAATACTACCTCCGGTCCAAATTACTCACAAATTTGGGGTATTATTTGTGAGATAAGATCGGAGGTAGTAATTTAAATAAAACTAGAATATACCTGTACGGAATATATATTTTATGTGACAAAAGTATACTTAGATAATTTGATTTCTGAAAAAGCTAAATATAAAAATAGAAATTTAGTGGAATAGGTTTTTTTTTTTTTTTTTTTTTTTTTTTTTTTTTTTTTTTTGTGGGAAATATATAGTTTTTGATGTTTTTATTTTGCAAAAATCTAAAAAAATAGGTTGTGTACAATTTTAGAATTAATAGCTTGAAGAGTTGTAATTAAACATTGAAAATTTAAAACTGCAATTTTAGTATAGATAACTGTTGTTAAAAAAAAAGTATATAGAGATAACTGAATCGATCTTTCTGCAAGGTGCTCAAATTTCAGCTTAATCGGAATTTTTTTTATATATAATTCTCACATTTAATGAAAAGTAACTTGACTATTTGAGTTCTGGCTTCTTCTATCTAATAATAATATAGACATATATAATGTATGTTTCTAATTTATTCATGAAAAATAAAGACTTAAGAATTAAAGAGAGTATGTAATATCTTAAAAGTTGAGGCATTTCCAATAGGCAACAAAGTTAAAAAGAAAAAGAAAAAAAAAAAGAAAAAAAAAGTATTTGTAACGTTTAATGAAGCAAAATTTATGTAATTTGAAAAATTAGATAAACAAAAACAGAGAGATTAGTCAGACATAAGCACAAACCCCAAAAGAGAATTCATAGACTATATTGTGGGATAAAGTATGTTGTCTATGTACTTGATAAAATCTTCACAATTCAATAGTTCATCAATTAGTTATCATCTCCAATTAGTAAATACGAAGTGCTACATGTTGTAATAACACGAAGTGATTAGATGAGTGGGCATTAATTAATTAAAGGTAATGATATATATAGCCCTATGGTAACTACACTCCTAAAATATAATTAAATTGGAAATTTATGATAAAATCACAAGTATAATTAACTAATTATTGGTAATTTATCCTCAAAATTTGTTTTTTAAGCTTCTTATACACGACCCCTAGGTCTATGTCTATCATTTCCTTTTTAAATACTTTCTGTAAGCTAAGTATATTAGTTAAATATTGTGTCAATTCAAATTAATTTGTTATGATTGTGTATTTGTGTCTATGACTGACTGTAAAATATACTTGGTGTACAATGGATATTTGATGGGTGGGGAGCTATATCACAAATTATGCCACAAATCATATCAATGTAATCATTTTTTTTTTGGCAGATCAAATGGCCGGTAAGATGCATATGAGATTACCTGTAATAGATTCGCTTTTGGCCATGGTGAGGAACTTCCGTGGTATATCATCTAATGGAAAGCGCGGTAGAGCAGTTGAGGCAGTTGATAAGCATTCTGAAATGTGCAGTGTTCATTTTCAACCACAAAATAAACGCAGGAAAGAGCAGACATTCCTGAGTGTTAACTCGAAGTACATTGTGAAGATGATGAATTGGTTAGGAAAAGATGAGATAAACGCCATTGGAATTTATGGCATGGGCGGAATTGGGAAGACCACCCTTGCAAAGCAGCTTCACATTCGAGTAAAAGACCAAGAAATCCATGTTACTGCTTGGATCTCTGTTGGAATGGATTTCACTGTATACCAATTACAGCAAAAAATTGCTGATGCTTTTGGGTTTGATCTTCAAAATGATAAAGATGTGACCAGAAGATCGGGCATGATATATGCATTTTTGTCCTGCAAAGACAAGTGCATACTTTTCCTTGATGATTTGTGGGGTGAATTTCGTCGAGAGGAAGTAGGCATTCCAAGAAAATGCAAGCTCGTTGTCATTTCCAGGATGCTGGATGTTTGTCGTATGCTTCGTTGCCAGAAAATCATCAGGGTCGAACCACTCTCAGAGGAAGAGGGTATGCAGCTCTTTCACTATAGTATGGGAGCGTATGATGTTTCCAATCAAGAGCTCTCTGTTAGGAACCTTGTAGTTAATGAGTGTGCAGGTCTCCCTCTTGCTGTCATAGCGTTGGCCAACATCATGAAAGGGGCGGTTAATTCTCCTAGATGGGGAGAAATCGTTGAGAGTGTAGATCCCTTTTCAATGGGAAGTACTCAGTTGGAAGATATACTTGGTCAATTGAAGTTGTCTTATAATAGATTGAATAGCGCTAAGCTGCAGCATTGTTTCTTATGTACTGCATTATACCCAAAAGGCTATCCCATCAGTAAAGAAGAGTTAATACGTCTTTGGATTGGGGAGGGGCTCATAGATGAGATGTCATCGTGGCAGGAACAGTACGACATGGGACATACCATATTGAACAAGCTTCTCAATTCTTGTCTGCTTGAATCTTGTCAACATACCGGGATTGTTAGGATGCATGATCTTGTTTGGCGTATGGCTCTTTCCATTGATAGTAATGGCTTAATGGTGAATGATGGCCTACCTTCAAAATTGGAGTTCTCTGGAAGTCTCAAATTTGTTTCATTGATAAATTCGTCAATATCACTGATCCCATCAGATGCTTCCCTCAAATGTGCCAATCTCTCAACCTTAATTTTACAACAGCCCTTCGAGGTAATTCCAGAATCATTTTTTTTTAACATGCGTGCCCTTCGTGTTCTAAGCCTATCCGATACTCGTATTATTAGATTACCAAGTTCCATCAGTGCCTTGGATGAGCTTCGAGTCCTTGATCTTAGCAGTTGTCAGAAACTGCAACACGTCTGTCCAATAACACAACTTTATAAATTAAGGTTTCTGGACCTTTCTCAGACTGCAGTTGAGGAGGTTCCTCGCTCCCTTGAAATGTTAAATAAGCTCACTGAGCTTAACCTATCCTCTATCACTGAACCAAAAATCCTAGGGGTTTTGCCTGCCCTTTCGAAATTGAAGAAACTATCATGCCATATTTCAGGCATTATTCACGAGCTGCAAGTTTTGGAATCACTGAAAGTTCTTGATGCCAGATTTGATAACCTTTTGGACTTGAGTAATTATGTCAGGTCTCAGCACTGGAGAACATTAGAGTGCTTCCATCTTCAGGTTGGTTATAGAAAAAGGCTGAAGAAATCATACAGTAGAGCAGTATCTCTCCAAGGCTGTATCTTGAGTGCGCGAGGGAGGGAACAGGTTGCATTTCCAGATGACCTTCTGGAGCTGTATCTTGATAATTGCAGTGGTTTCAGTAGCCTGTCTGATATAGTGTGCGGCAATAATACTGAAAATTTTAAACAGCAAGCCGATGTTTTTTCAAGCCTAGTTAAATGCACCATCAGAAGGTGTCATGATGTCGAGAAACTTCTTTCACCAAGCTGTATGCAAAATCTCCCGAGCCTTGAGTTATTGAAAGTTGAAGAGTGTCACAAATTAAGAGTGCTAATAGTAGAGGAGATCGGTACTCATTGCCATTCTGAAGGAAAAGATGCAGCCATTGACCTCTCACAGCTAAAACAGTTAGTTCTCACCTCGTTGCCCCAATTGAATAACATCTATAAGGGTCGACTAATTTGTGCTCAACTTTGGTCATTTACAGTTATAGACTGTCCAAATCTGAAGCACCTTCCGTTTTCCAACAATATGGGTGATGTAAAAGAATTGATAACTTCTCTTGAATGGATTGAAGGACAACAGAAATGGTGGGATTCGTTAGAATTGGATGGTATGGAATCTAAAGCTTTGCTAACATCGTTCTTCAGATGCAGATCTTCCATGGATGTATGCTGAACAAAAGAGTAAAAGTTGTGTGTTATATTTATATTGAAGTACTACGTTCGAGTATATAATTAGCCATCTTGCTATAATGCTATTGAGTTGAAGGTGTAAGAAATATGACTTATGTAATCTAAATAATGAAACGGCTTATTTGGAAATTGTCAAGACGTGACAATAGATCACTGTCCTAAAGTCGAATTTGCTTCGCACAGTATACGCGGACTCGTAGCAATCGATCTTCTACGTTACACGACTGCAACTCTTCAATGTATGACAAATAGTTAGATTGAAAACACTATGAACAATGCCCAAAATAAGAAACTGTATTTTGTGTAACAATTTTTAAAGTAAGATGAGGACATGCCCGTAGAAGAGGGTGTGCAACCAGCTGCACAGGGTACAAATTTTTCCCTAGATTCTAGTTTAGGCAACTTTCCCTATACCTCCATCTTACTACTTAGTCTTTTTTTTTTTTTTTTTTTTTAATTCTCATCTTTCCTTCTTTATTTTTCATTCTAGCCACTGCATAAAAAATTTCTCTCTCCTCTTTTATAGAGATTTCATATTCTCTCTCCTATTTTTTTTTTCTTCAACTTTCTCTCTCTTCTTTTATGAAGATTTCTAACTTAGTTGTTTTTTTTTATCATGATCGTAAATATGTTATTTCTGCTAGAGTTGGATTACTTGATTCGTTTAAGGATTAATGTGAGTAATTTTGTATCGTTAATGCTAATTAATCAATCGGTTTTTTTATATCTTTGATAATGCTCTGTTTTTTTATTGTTATTGTTTCATTACAAAGATTTGATTTCATAGTATTTGTTGTAATGCTTTAAATCTTGATAATTCTTTGTTTTTCTATTGTTATTGTTTCATTTTAATATTCTATTTCTTTCCAGTTATGTGCATCTTATATGTTTTATAGTTATTTATAATTTTTTCATTTTATTGTTTTTACCAGTTTTATGTGTTGTATATAAACAGTTATAGTTAAAACAATGCTCACTTTTGTAATAGTAAATGTTCATTTTAGGGTTATATTTGTGTTCAGTAGTAAATTACATGTTTATTGTAGTTGTATATGCATGAATATATGTGTTTACATGTGAATTTTAATGATTATAATTGTTTTAACTATAACTATAATTGTTCAGCGCGGACTCCTAGGCAAACCTTTTTAAACGTGATTATTGAAAGTTATATACATATAATTAACTATTAACCAAATAAAAAAATAAAAGCAATTACAATTAAAAAGAACCGCCTAGAACAACCACCACACGCCACACAAAACCACCACCCCACGCCACCCACAAATCACCGAAAGTCACCCCATGCCACCCACAAATCACCGAAAGTCACCCCATACCACCGAAATCCACCCAAGAATCACGAAAACCACACAAGAACCACGAGAACCACCGGATTTGAAACCCAAAAACCAAACCCATGTAAGGCCTGTTCTCATTGACTGAACTCAGCTGAACTGAAATAAACTGAACTGAACTGAACTAAATTGAATTGAGCTGAACTGAACTGAACTAAATTGAATATTTTATAAGAGAAGGAAATTAGGAGCTGAACTGAACTGAACTGAAATGAATATTTTATAAGAGAAAGAAATTAGGAGCTAAATTGAATTGAACTGAAGTGAACTAAAATGAATATTTTATAAGAGAAGGAAATTAGAAGCTGGACCGAACTGAACTGAACTGAGCTGAGCTGAATTTCAACGTAAGAGAACAGGCCCGTAGAACTACCTCCACGAACCGCCCAGAACCACCACCGATACCGCACCCACAAAACAACCATCTATGAACCATGAAATAGCCATCCAGAAACCACCAATGCCTACCCATAAACCAAAAAAACCACCCACAAACCAAAAAACCATCCATAAATTAAACAACTACCACCAAATCTACCGAACCCACCCAAAAATCACCAACAGCCACCCACGAATTGAGATGAAAAATGACAATGAAGAAGATGATGAGAGACGAAGAAGGAAGAAGATAAGAGATGAGATGGTGATGACATGAGAGATGAAGATGGAAGAGAGAGATGGCGGGGAGATGAAATTAGAGATTAATCTAATTTTTTGGGGGAAAAGCTTAGATAATTAAATTATATTAGGGTTATAACATTTTATTATTATGTGTAGTTGTAGGGAACATTTCAAGCGTTAATCCCCTAGCTTGAACCTCACTGTGATCATACACTAAAGTACGGTGGCGTCCAAAAGGGAAGAAGATAGAGCAAAAGAGTCGCCAACAAGTTTTTTAGAAACTTGTAAACCGTTCACGAGGTGAAGGTTACACCCCTTAACGATATAAGAGATCGTCAACTCCATAAGGTCTTGAACCAAATAGGGTTTGGGGATGAAGGTACAAATCCAACCTAAAAGAGATTGAATCTGCCATAATAATAGGCCTCTACTTTATTCTGATCGTATTCATGTGCGCTTTCTGACTAACATACAATCAATAGGTTTAACCCTAAACCTGTTTATCTATGTTGGTTGAATATTAATGCACAAATAAATATATTATTGGCGATCACTTGAATTATAATCAAATTAACCCTAAACAAGATTATTAAATATCTTATTAAGCGTGATTACAAGTACAAATTCCCTTTAAACATGCATAAAAGGCGTGATCAAGAAATAACAATAAATAATCAAGCAACATAATAAATAATCATAAAATTATAATAATAATCAAAACGATTATAAAAATAATCTTGAATCATGTTAAAGCATAATAAAAATAGCAAGATCCTAGGCATGATACTAATAAGTTTAATAACAAACCCTAGCATGTCACTAACAATAAAAATCAAATCTTTAACCCTAACATGATACTAACAGTCATAAATATTAGGAAGAACATAAAAGGCATCGTAACGATCATACTTAATATTAAAGTTATCCTAGACATGATACTAGGAATATCATAATAACAACCTAAGCATGATTTATATCAAAACATCAATAAAAACCATTAAAGTACTTACTTGGATGCATTGTACCTCTTTCTAATAACAAAATACACGCGTTAGTAACTTCAAGGAAAATAATAAACAAACAATTAAATTAAATAATTGAAATAGAGATTTGGGACCAAACCCTCAGAAATTAAATGTTTCACGTCTAGGGCGAAGGCAACTTCGAATATGGCTAGGTGTATCTAAATCTAATGAATGCGGAATTTTTATATTTGGGAGAAGCTAGTTTAGAAAAGAGAGAGAGAAAGTAATCAAGAAAATCTTGATGAGAGTTGGTAAATGATTATTGAAGAGAATGAGAGAGAATTGATGATTGTAGGTGAAAACTGGTTATCGAAAACGGAGTTTTTACGACGTTATTTATAAAGAAAATCAGCCAAAAAGATAAAATATCAAAACAGAGTTTTGGCGCAGACAAAACTGAACCAGCGCCAACGCTGGCTATTGGCGCCAGACGCCAACATTAGCGTCAGGCGCCAATGCTAGCGCCAGGCGCTACAGCTGGCGTTTGGCGCTGATTTGGAAATTCACGCGTTTTCTTAAAATCAGATAAAAATTGTCGTACAGGAGGATAAAATCGTATTTTTCCTCAAAAATGCTCTTTGATTCTAATTAAAACTCTAAAAAGTCAACAAAAAGTCAATTTATCAATGTTAATTGAATTAGGAATGAAAAGAATCTTCTAGAAGAATATAGAAGACTAAAACCATTCCTAATTGCATTAGGAATGATAAATATATATTAGGCCCTCCTCTAGATCATTGGGCCGCATATAAGGCTCAAACCGGGTCCAGTTTAGTAAATTGGTCATAACTTCCTCAATATTCATCGGAATTGGGCTTATAATATATCGTTGGAAAGCTCTTTTCAAACCCATCCAACTACACTACTATTGGACCCATATCATGGACCAACCAGTCTGGATTAACTATTTTCTTAAAAATAAGTTTTCAAAAATAGAGAGAAGAGAAAAGAAATTAAAACTATCCGCAACACTAGACTTTCCACATTTTCACTTCATTCGATTATGATTCGACGCGAAAGATACTCATCACTAGATTTGGTTTTGGGGAGACACAAATGGATGTCTACAGTAGTATTATGTGTTAATAATTTTTAATTGAGGGTATTTGGTCATTTTACCAAAACAAAGTTACTATTTTAGAAAAGGAATAATTTTGTAGCAAATAAAAATAAATGTCAACTAAGTTAGTATAACAAATCAATTAGCCTTAAACAATCTTGTGATGATTTGAAACTTTTTTTATTATTTATTTATTTATTTATTTTTATTTTTAAAAAAAGGGCCTATGAGAAGGTCCCCGCGAGGCTATCCAATCATTACTTTCATTTTTCAATCTATGAATATTACTTAACGCACTCTTTTTCCTCCTTTTGTTATGAAAGAAGTGAGTATTTGTATCACGTGACCTTGAGATAATTATTTCCTCCGTTTTTAAATACTTGCTCTATTTCTATTTTTGCACTATTCATTTGTCCTACTTTGACTAATGTTTGTGATTTATACATAAGAAAAAATATAGTCTTATGGGTACTTGTTGGAATCATCTCAATGAGTTGATTATTAATTTTCAATTAGAATTTATACTTATTGGTAATTTAAGATATTAGTGATTTAAGATAAGTATCGACATACGTGTCCAAGAGAAATAAAACGAGTATTTAAAAAAGGAGGGAGTAGTTTTTTCGGCTAAAATTACCCAATATTTTTGTCCAAACAAGAGGAGTTTTTGCAATTGAGGAAACATTTAATTGATCTTAACTAAAACACGGCTAATTCTAGACTTTTAACTTTTATGCAACCGTTGGTCGTTTGATATGGGGGAGTTGATACACATACAATCATTGTATGTGGTCCTTACATATAATACCATTAGAAATTTGACACATCATAAAAAAGGAAGAAAACTAGGAGTCAAATATAAATTGAATTTAAATGGAACTTGGACCCATAATTTTAGCCAATAAAAACATAACAAATTGTGGGGACCACATACAACAATTGTATGTGTAGCCTTTGGGTAGATATGGCCTTTTGTATACGGTAGCTATATCCAACGGTTAAAAAATGGTGGCCACTTTTGTATTCCGTTGGATTGATTCCTTCAATATGGAAATATTTATGGTTGTATAAAATATAAAGAGAAGCTATTGTTATACTTTTGTTTCAAATCAGTTTATTAGCAACCTATATGTATGTCTGAATTGCAAATTTGAGATGATTATAGTTATCAATTTAAGATGTTTAGTTCCTCAAAAAGAAATAAAAAATGTTTAATACTTCCATCATTGTAATAATACTGCAACAATTGAATTTTTACACTATTAATCATGTTTGTTTGCCCACACATTATGATTTATAAGTAGAGTAAAAAATATAGTCATATGAAGTTTTGTTAGATTCGTCTCGTAAAATACTTTCACAATATCAACTTTTTATAATTTTTACTCTTATATAATTATAAATATTTAGTATATAAAATATGATTTGGAATGCGTAATTAAATTCTTGTAATATTTATGAAGCGGAAAAAATATTTTATAATATCAGATTGATTATAAAATGTCATGTTCTTTAAAGAAAAAAATCACTTACATATATTTATGTAAAGAAAAAAAAAAATCAAATTTGACTCACAGTAGAAAACTACTACTCGTACTAGTGAGCTAGAAATTCTTAACACTAATTTCTACCAAAAATAAGTAATAAAAGAGATTAATAACTAAAATAAAATTCATTTTTTTTTTTTTGAGGGGGACTAAAATAAAATTCATAAAGCAAAGCAAAAGTGAAATTATCAAATTCTCTTCAAAAAAAAAAAAAGTGAAATTATCAACTTGCTTTCTCACGTGCAAAGTTGTGAGATTTGATTATGGGCGTATTTTATTTGACACATACAAACACTAAAGTCCTCACTCTTTTTTATTTGACACGTCACACATACAAACACTAAAGTCCTCACTCTCTCTTAAAAATAAAGTTATTTTCCTCACTTCTCTCTCTAAAAAAAAAACAAACTTCGATTTTTGAGCTGCGTCTCTCAACTTTCAGGTACCTACATATTTTCGTAATCTTCTTTTACATTGCATATTGAATCATTTGTGTATAATTTGTACTCCGACTTATCTTGTTTCTTGCTTTGAATTTCAATTGTTGAGTGTATTTTATTTTCATTATATTCCTATGTCATTTACCACAAATTTAATTATTAGGTGAGTAAGGAGTCTTAGTTACAATCATTTGCTGATTTGAATTAAAACTCCCTCTGTTAGTGATTTAATCGTCGGTTCTAGGTCAGTTAGTGTATCTGTAATCACCGAGTTGATCCGACGATTTAATTGAATTGAAATTCCCTCTGTTAACCCGGAATGTTGTATTGAAGAAGTTTGGTCAGTTATTGGAGTTTCTGAGATCAACCTGGGATGTTAATCGAACAATTCTAGGATCTGCACAACCTTGTCAACCAGGAATATCACCGACTATTTTAGGCAAGATTGAACCAGTAATATCCTGATAGACGAATTGCCTTACAATTTTAGGTAAAATAGAATCAGCAAAGTGGCAGGATTATCTGCCAGAAAATCAACAAGATTGTATAATTTAATGATAGTTTTTGATATGTGATAGCTCTGATTGTGTTTATGAATGTGGGATGGAGGTGTTGATGTTGTGAAAGATAGGTGGGGCTAGAGCTGACAGTGGTGGTGGGGGTGGTGGAATGGGGTTTCCTTTCCTTTTTTACTCTAACCAAACAAGATAGGTAACACTAAGCCAAAGGTGTTCTCTTTCTTAATCCTTTTCCTTTCCATTTCAATTGAACTACATATCTCCTAAATTTTGTGATTTTTTTTATAATAAATTTGGATGAAGTTTATAATAATTTGTAGATCTTCCATTTTTTCCAAGAAAAAGACAAAGAAAGAAGGATTTTATCCTTTTTGATCACCCAATTGTTATTAGGTCTGTTTGTTAATAAGTTTCTTTATTACTCTGTATTTTAGTGTTGCAATCATACCTAAGGTATTGTTGGGCAGAAGGCTGGGCCATTGTTTTTTTAAAATGACATGAGGTTGATGCATATTCAAATTTAAGGATCTAAAATATTTATCATTTTTTTGGCTTTGGAGTTTGGACTATAACAAAATGTTATGTTCTTTGAACTTCTTTCTTATTGTTGTGAAATAGCAAATACAAAAGTCAGTCAATTGGAGACAATTTTGGTGCTGTTGTAGGTATAAGTTTGCACACCTCCTCATTCTCTTCAGAGTGATTAGAGTTGTGTTGAAATGGACTATTGATTATTTGTAATCTTGACTAGACACTAGAGTGTTGTAATTTATCAGGTATAGGGAAGGGTATAATTGGAATTATCATTGAAAAGGGAATTTAGTTATAAGGGGGAATAATTTACTTTTGTTGTGTTTGGGAGAGGCCTCTTTTTGACTCGAATGAACAATACAAGAGGGGGGGGGGGGGTGAATTGTATTGTAGAGGAACTAGGGTAATTTTTGCGGAATTTATAAAGGAACTCGAATAAAAACTAAAAGTGCAAAGAGAGATTTTACGTGGAAAACTTCTTGGCCCTAATCAAGAAGAAAAACCACGACCATAAGGGATTTCAAACTCAACTCTTAATAATAATAGGGCAAACAACTTATTACAAATTAAGACTCTAAATTAAGTTCCTCTATGAACTTAAACTTTCTTCAACTGATCCCTTAATCAGTCGAACTCTCAAACTCTCTCTTTCTCCTTGCTTCACTCAAAGCAATAAAACACTCTTAGAGTTTCCCCAAACTCTAACCCAATACAACTCAAAGATTAAACTCTAAATTGCTAAGTACAAAGACACTCAAGGACTCAAGTGGATTATGACTCTTTTTAAAAGCTAAAAGACTGTAATGCTCAAGTGTACTTTCCCAACAGAAAACCAGTCCTATTTATACTATAAAAGGGAAGTTAAAACACTGCCGTTTGCCTCAACTCCCATTAAGCCACTACTTCCATAAAACTAGGAAGTGCAGTTTGTGGGTGCTTAGGCAGCAAGCTAAACACTTTATAAGGAAGTGGTTTACTGCTTCCTATTTTCTCTCAACTTCCTTGACCAAGTAAAACAACCGATTTTTAAAAGAGTATTTTCCAACTCAGATTTTCCAAAATAATAGGATAGAATCAAAACAGAAAGTCTTTTTAACTAACAAGATATTTTAACTCAAAAAGATATTTTTCGAAATTAAATTAAATAAAGTTAAAATATGGAAAATAAAATCTTTATCAAAAAAAATAAATCCACTTAAATTCTATCAATTGAGACACTGTGAAGCTTCGACTCTGGAGCTTCAGTTCCTCACTAGAGGAATTTGACTTTTGATTGTCTTCTTTGTTCATCCATAGCTTATCCTTAGACCTTGTTCCATGCTCCATTCTGACTCTAGAACTTCGTTGCATATATACACCTGTCAATAAATCAAAGCTAATAGACAAAAGTTAAAACACTTATGGTTTGCTTAGGTTCCTTGTGTCATCATCAAAACTTAAGGTCAACACCTCTTAATATTATTTTTTTACATAATTACATCTTTGGTAGTTCTCATATTAATAATCATATTCGCCTTCTTCCTTTCGTTTCTGCCCAATACTCTAGTTTATTAAACATCCATAGGAGATCCTATACATATAGTGTCTTAATATGGTGATTTTTGTACAGGAAGTCTTTCCTATGGATGCCAAAGCTGTTGTTGGGGCAATTCTGGCCCTTTTCACCTATTTTTCCGGGGTACCCAGTCTTGATGATAGAAAAAGAAATCTAAAGAGTAAACTGGAATATCTGAGAGCCCAAATAGAAGACATAGAGAACAGTGAAAGAGCACCCTTTTCTGCTAGGGTTCAGAGAGGCAGGAAAAGAAAGAGAGAAAGAGATCTATGCACCTGGGTGGATGAGGGTCGGGAGCTTTTAAAGGCAGCAGAAACCTTATATACACAGGTCGAAGGATATAGGAACCTCCTTACGAGTACAAAGAAGAGAAAGGTTGTTGACAAAGTGGTTGATGCACTTGCAATCCGTGAAAAGAAGGGTGATATTCTATATATGCATGCCTTTCCTGACAAACAAGGTCCATATCGTGGTAATGACATGCCAGTCAAGAAGATCATTGGAAAAACAGCGTTAAATACTTTGGAAAAACTCCAGCATCTATTGGAAGATGCTAAGATTGGACGGGTTGCTGTTCATGGGAGAGAGGGAATTGGCAAGACCTTTTTCATGAAACACCTAAATAACTTTGCATTAAAATGTGTTGAGAGGTTTGATTATGTTTTCTGGGTTAGCTCTCCTGAACAGTTCAGCATCAGGCACGTGCAAGATGCTGTTGCTGCTGTTGTAAATTGTGATCTTCCTAGTGATGATGATTTGAATGTGAGGGCTAGCAAACTGTCAAACACACTTGCAGACCTGGGAAATTTTTTGCTTTTCTTAGATGGTGTGCCTGAAGCAGATTTTTCTTTGGACCAAATTGGAATTCCAGTCCCTGTAGAAGGCAGTGAGTGCAAACTGATATTAACTACTAGCTCTACCTTGGGGTGTAGAATCTTGGATGGTTTTGGAACAATTGAACTTAATTGTCTTCCAGAAAAAGAAGCATTAGAGTTATTCATTCATGAAGCAGGTATTGACATGAGACGTGTTACTTTGCTCGATAACATTCCTAGGTCGCTTGCAAAGAGGTGTTGTGGGGTACCACGTATGATTGTTAACTCAGCTTCTCGCATGTGGGACACTGATGACATCCGTGAATGGAGACATGAGTTTGAATCAGGAAATTTTGAGAAATGAACTAGGATTGTGACAATGTACAAGAATGAAATGCCAGCATTCTTTTCTTGATTGCTCTCGAGTCTCAAGTGAGGCAGCATCTTACTGCCTTAAGGCTGAAGTCACGAGGAGTAGGCTAGTACATTAGGAGTCGTCAGATCAGATGAGTTCGTTTCGCTGCTTCCTTTAGTTCTCGAGTGGAGTAATGAGATAATTAGGAGTGAAAATGTAATGTAAATAATGTTCTCATAGAGTCATAGGCTGCCAGGGCGAACAAAATGACCTTTGTCAGAAGCTGGGCCTGCTGGCCATTATATGTATTGGAAAGTGTATATTTTGACTTTCTTGCTGCAGTGTAAATCGTTTATAATTGAAGAAGCTAGTGTTAATTTTTTTTGTTTCTCATGGTGAAGGAGATTCTTCTTCCTTTCTTTCTTTCTTTTTTACCCTTTTTGAGCAAGAAAGCAGAGTAGTGTACTAAAGCCAAATTTATTTTCAGGATTCAACGAAATTAGCAATTTAGCATGTAACATTGAAAAACGTATCTCTAAGCTGTAAGCTATAGCTAACCTTACTAGAATCATTTTTAATGATGTGTCTGATGATCTCGAGCACTTTAAGGTTGACTTTTGGGTCTGGATGCCCCAGGAACAACCTGATATCATGAGTATACAGAACTTTCATTTTATGAAAGATTTCAGCTAATGACACCTTAATGACAGATTCCGGCTAATGACACCTTAATGACGGATTCCGGCTAATGACATACAGGAGGACAAATACCTTCATTTTGACCTCATTTTGACTTCTTTAGCCAGATTCATTTTGTTTTAAGAATGTCACCTTAAGTTTTCGATGTTTGACTGTTATTTACCCTCTATATTTGTGCGCATATTCACGCTCACAAATTTGCCAAACAAGGTATTTCTGACGATTTTATTCACGCTCACAAACAAGGTATTTATGACAAACATGGTATTTCTGACAATTTTGCCAATTTAGTATTTGCGCTCACAATTTTTCTTTATCTTTTTTAGAAGTGATGGCTGCATTATAGCTGACTGCACGGCTGTTGGTGTGTTGTTGGGCCATGAGCCCATGACAAGGATTTGATTACTGCATGTCAGGATTGTTAACATAAAGGCAAGATAACTTCTGAAAGCAACACCAGGGCAACAAATTTGATATGTTACTGAATGTACACCATTCTAAAGAAGACGGAGTATTCATTTGTAGAACAGACTTAAGAGTCAAGCTGTCGAGGTCACTGATTAGTGATCACACAGGTGACTTGGTTGCCGCATTGACATTGTAATCAAAACTAAACACACCACAACAGTAGTAGTACATACTCCAGGCCTCCAGAGTATCACTGGTGATAAATCTTTAGAAGAGAAACTTAGGTGCATAAAAACCGGGTAACTCTTTTCACTTCATACCCTCTCGTGATCAAATGTAACCAGCAACGACCTGCTATTGGCGAGTATTGCTACTGTAGATTGTTATTGCAATAGCAACTATCAATTGAAAGTGATTTAACTATATATAAGCTACAAATATTTACAAGTAACCCTCAACTCAGGTCCTCTTTATTCTAATTTTGTAGAGTACACCAAATATGGTCTAATACGGAAGTTTGTCACCCTTCTCAAGGTTCCTAAGCTCAAAACGTGCATTTCTCCATTCACAAGGGTCATCAATGCCACACATATGAGTAGCTATGTCTACAATCCTGCGTGGCACCCCATGACACATCTTTGCAAGCGAGCTAGAAGTAGAAGTCATGCTGATTCTTGCTTCATTTCTGAACAATTGGGATGCTTCTATATCTGAGAGACTATCAATTTTAACTGTTCTACAACAGTCCAGAATTTTAGAAACACAAGTAGACCTTGTAGTTATAACTAGTTTGCTCTTACTTCCTTTTGCAGGGACTGGAATTCCTATCTGAACCAGGGAAAGTTGTACGTCTGGTATGCCATCTAGGTAAATCACAAAACTTCCAAGACCTGTAAGCGTATCTGACAGTTTTTTAGCCCTTAAATTTAAGTCACCGTCGCAGGGAAGATCACACTTCACTGCAGCAGCGACAGCATCTTGTACATGCCTGATGCTGAACTGACGAGGACAAGTGATCCAGAAATTGTAATAAAATCCCTCAACCCATTTCAATGCAGAATTGTGCAGGTGCTTCATCAAAAAGGTCTTGCCAATTCCTTCCATCCCTTGAATAGCAATCCTTCCAACATTATCATCTAGCAACAGAGTTTGAAGTTGCTGCAGACCATCTGAAGCAACTTGCCCCAATAAATCTCCCACTGGTATAAGTTTACCACGATCAGGACCTCGCGCATCAAACAAACCACATCCCAAAAGGATATCAGCCTCTTTTTCATGAGCTGACAGTGTCTCATTCAACTTGTGAACGTCTACCAGCTTTGCACAGCGTTGAAAAGAGATTCTACCTTCCCCACATTTTCTTTTCTTCTCTGAAAGTACTTGACCGCCATCTCCTAATAACTTTCTCGCTTTCTGCTCAAGCGCATGACCCTTAGACACCCAGATCAAGAGGTCATCTTCCCTTTTTCTCTTCTTGACTTGCTGAGTAGAAGCAGAAAGCAATGCTCCTTCAATGTCCTGTATCCTGGCGCTTAAGAACTCAGTTTTTCCCTCAAGAATTCGCATTCCCTCATCCAGTCCTACTGCCCTGACTAAAGTATCCAGAAAGCTGAAAGTTTCATAAAGAACAGCAAAGGGAATCATAGTGATGACTGATGAATACTTCCTGTTTCAGATTAGTGAGTCAGATTTCAATACCCTGTGGAAGTGTTACCTCAAAACACAATGATAAGCATGCCAAGTAATAAGGAAAAAGATAATTTTCCCTACAAACTACTCAAAAAAAAAAAAAAAAAAAAAAAAAAAAAACAATTTTTGTTGATTAAAGACGATCATAACTAATGAATCAGTATCCAAGAAATTAACTTAAGAATCAGATAAATAAACCTTCAATTAAAAAAAAATGTCAGTGTAAATTAATAGAATTTAATCAGCAAAACAAAATAGATAAAACATTAAATCAATTATATGGAGTACATCTCAAATCAAACAAATTTTTAATAGCATACATTTGAGCATCAAAATAATACAAATTTGGCTAAAAACTTTTAAGAAGAGCTTATTATTTCCATGTTTGCATATGAAAAATTTATCCCGTTTTGTATATTGTATTTAAATAAACCCAAATCTCCACCAATCTGCTAACTCCCCCCACCCCCCAAAAATAACAAGTATACTTTTCTTAAAAAAATAAAAAAAATAAAAATAACAAGTATGCAATTAAAAAAAAAAAAAAAATCAAACTTCCATTTTCTGCCGTCAGTTAATCAAGATATAATCCGATAAAATGATAACCAAAAACATTAAAGCAGCAAACTTTGAGCATTTATCAATGGAGAAATCAAGCAGTAGTAGTAGTAATAATAATAATAATAATAATAATAATAATAATAATAATAATAATAATAATAATAATAATAATAATAATAATAATAATAATTGAATAGGTTAATATTAAAGTAAAAAACAATACCGTTCAAAAACGGTGGGCGCACTGAGTGTGATGAAAGTTAGGAGGAAAGAGAAGCCAATCCGAGAGGGTAATATCAATATCACACCCCTTTTTTTTTTTTACTTTTTTTTTTTTGAAGGAGGGGAGGCTAGTTAGTTTCACAGTTGGTGATGTACTTATAATAGTTGTACTGTTTATGTAAAATGGCTAATATTTGCCTATTTGGTCCTCTGCAATTTTTAATTGGTAAGGACTGTATTGAAATATGACTATGTACCAATGGTAATTTGTATTGATATAAAGAAGATATAAGGAAGATATAAGTTCGAGCTTGTCCTAATGGAGTTTCGTTATGCATAGAGAAATGCAGACAAGGGGTAAGAGTGTAATTACATGTATATACATATTCTAAATTAAGAGTAGGACCATTGGGTGATTAATACTATTATTGGATGATCAAAAACTACCATTGTACATTCAGTGGTACAAGAGTGTGAGAGATAATTCAAGTGGTTAGAGCTCCCCTCCCGATTCCAGGTGATACTGGGATCGAAACTCATTACCTGCTCTTGTGGCTCTCTAAACACCAAAAAAAAAAAAACATTGGTACAATATATGTAGGTACTATATATGCATTCAGTGGTACTAACTGCATGTAGGAATAATATCACTAAATAGACAATGGTATTATATAAGCTTTCAGTGATATACTTAAAAGTGGTCCCACTTAAAAATTGCGGGTTCATGCATGGTCATACAATAACAAATTCGAGTTTTAATATAGGGATTTATAATGCTTGTCCAAGACCAATAAGGGTAATGTTATATGTACCTAAGGGCTGTATATAAGCATTAAATATACTCTTAGAAATTGTATAAAATTATAAATTCATGATAAAAACACGTGTAAATTAGTGTTATTAGTGTTTATATTTTGATGATTTCTTAACTTTTTACGATTTTCAAGTATAAATTTAATGTTTATATGTAGCCCTAAGGGCTATGTATAACATTTTCCTTAAAATTATTCTAACTGGTAAAATAAAACTATTTTCATACGAGTACTTAATATACTAAATGTATATAAGTTTGTGAATATTCCTTCAAGATAAAAATTTAATTATTTACACTCTTTTGATACTTTTTTTTCATTGAAAAGATTAATTTTTGTAGCTTAACTTTTGACACACGTTAGACAAATTGTTACTTTAATATAAGGTCCCTATTTGCTCGATATTGCTGATGAGCAAAATTCCCCATCTCAGTTAAGTCAAAACTGGACCGTAGCTACTATTTATAATTTATATTCCTGGAGAGTATAATAAGGTAGGTAACTCATCAATTGGTTGTCTATGTACTTTTAATGTTGGTTGGATTCACTTTGTGGTTCCCAAAATTGCTAAGAATCACCATGCGAATGATTTGCTAGAAATAAGCTACAAGCCTACACAACTCTGCTAAAGATGTTGTGGGCTAATCATTTGAAGCCTCTTCATGTTGTTTGTCTGCCATCAGTAGAGTTGGACATAGACCAACTCACACACAAACTGGTTTAACCTAGCCTGAAATTAGCAGAAGCTGGCATGACCTCATCTTAAACTAGACACATAACAAGAGGCACGATGATAAATCATAAGCCATGCATGGATATAATTCTCAAAATTTTGGCACAAGGTCCATGGATAGGCCGATCTCTCCACTTTAGCCCATTAATTAAGTACTGAAAAATTGTTAAGGAGATCAATTACTCAATCGTGCATATGTTCCAATTTACGAAAGATTGGCACGAACTGATATGATACAATTTTTCCTTAAATCCTTTCTAATACGATTTCCATGAACAAGTTACTCAGATGGACTGGTATCTTTTACCCTAGCAATTTAGCACAACAGTTAAAAGGCTTTTGCCTAAGTTTATAAGTTGCTATTCTGAGTATTATATAAATAAAATAACAAAAATAGGAAGCAAAAATCAACTTTGTTACTTTATTATTATATTATAAAAGTTATGTAATTAAAAGTACACCACTAATGCAATGGCCCATTCACTCTAGCATTTCATGCTTTTTTATGGGAAAGTTCGTGGACACTTCATCGTTGAAAGACTAGTAACTTTCAGTATATCCGTCGTATGTAGAGGTGTGAATTCGAATAACCGGATAGAGTTTGGGTCGGGTCTATTCGAGTCGGGTCTGTTTGGGTCAGATATGTTTGGATCAAAATTATCCTTTTAACTCGAATCGGGTCAAATTCAGATCATGGTCTTTCGAGTCCGGGTCGGATACGGGTCGGGTCAACTTCAAATCGATTCACTTTCGGTTCGGATATATTTGGATCGGGTTTAAAACAGGTTTAGCCGGGTAACTTCGGATCGGATGAATTTGGGTCGGGTTGATTTCAGTTCGGATGATTTCGGTTCGGTCAATTTCGGTTCAATTCCTTTTTGTGTTTGGTTGAAATTTTTTTTGGAAGTGCAAGGCTTTTGTTATTTTTGAGGAAGCGGTATCCATAACATATTATTGGAGTCGAAACATTGCAATGATATTATATGCAGCGTATTTTGTATATGAAAATGAAACTACTGAAAAATACCTAAGTTTGAATCATTGGATTATGTATATGTAATATATTTAATTATTATAATGCAAATGTAAGCGCTTGATATATCCTTTAAAACTTTAATTATTTTGCTTTCATAATTGTTTCTTATAGGTTGCATCAGACTAGTAGTAATGTGATTTATATTGATATAATTGGTTGTAGGTGTTAGAGAAAAGAATTATTAGTTCATAAAATATAACAGAATGGGAGGAAATTCATTAAAAATGACAATAGGCTTTAGGCAACATTTAACTAGAGCTTTACAAGCAAATCGATTAACTCCCGCTTAATGTTTAGGTTTATTAGATCTTGTGACATTTATTAAAGCTTAGAAAGTAAATTAATATAATTGATATGTACATGAAGTAAACTTAAGACTCTGGATTATTTCTTTGCAGTCAAAAAGTTAACTTATTAATAATTAGTAAATATATAGTATAAGAACTTGAATAAAAAAGTAAATAATTAATTATGGGATCGGGTTAAATTCGGATCGGGTAAAAATAAAATCGAGCTAAAATCGAATCGGGTTAATATCAGTTCGGGTCAAAACATATCGGATTAAGATCGATTATTTTTCGGGTCAATTTCGAATCGGGTAGAGCTCAGGTCCGGTCAAATCGGTTCGGTTTGAGTTCAGGTCGGGTCACATTGAATTCGGGTTGAGTTCAGGTCGGATCAAATCGGTGCCGGGTTAAATTTAGACGGGTCAAGTTCAGATTCGGGTTGAGTTCAGTTCGGTTATAGACCGGATTTGGGTCTTGAATTTCTCAGATCAAATTGGATCGGTTACAGTTCAAAACGGATAATTTTTTTCGATTCGGTTTTGACACCCCTAGGTCGCTAGGCTGCCATGTTGCTAGTTTGCAAGTTGCAACCATATGCTTTGTTAAATTTAAGTTCATAGTATAGCCAAGCATTGCGTATTTGCGTGCCAATTGACTAATTAATTAAATTATTAAACTAGAGCGCCTCGAAGCGCAATTAGATATAACGTAAAATTAGTTATTGGTTGGAGCGAAATCATTGAATTATTTATGAGATTGTAAATGTTTGAGCTATGAAACCGCGTTTTTTTTCTTCTTTTCTGCAACCATGTCTAAGTTCACATTTGCTGATATGCAAAATCCTCTGTAATCTTTTCATTTTTTTTTTTTTTTTTTTTTTGAGAATAGATTAGTCTTTTCATTTAGCAAAACAATTGAGTATATTAGTATATACAGCGGGGTTAAAGCTATAATACTCTAGTTGATGGCACTGGGTCGGACCGACACGAAAAAAGCACGACACGATACTATGTGTGTGGGCCATGGGTCGAATCTGGGCCGCCTTTATTTGGGTGAAGCGTGATAAGACATGACATGATCGGACCCAACACAACACAACACAACACAACCCGCCTTTATTAAATTAAATACGCTTATTTTATGAGTTTATTCCACTAAATAATAAACTCTTTTTTCAATTAGTTTATTCAATATCTTATGGTATAATGAAAATTTTATTCCCATTTAAATTAAAATCTTGAACTACGTAGCTACCTTCATAATTAGTTTATTGGTCATTTCACACACTCAAACAACTTTGAACAATTAACTATTCACCAAATACTTTTATATAATCAAGAATAGTAATAAAATAAATTAGTCAAATCAGTTAAACAATCAACTAGTCAAAATCAACTAACACAATCAAATTTAGCTTTTAGTTTTTTACCCAACATGACCTATGTAAATTTAGAAATATTTTACTGCGATGATATTACACACAATCAGGATAAATTAGATAGTCAATACTTGCAACAATTGGTGATAAGTAAAATGGTACAACTAATCAAAAAAATTACTGAACCAATTACTAGCTTCAAGCCTTCAACCATCAGCTTAGTACAACAATAGTACTAACCGAAGTGCTTAGTTCGGGAAACTTTAGTGGCCATTTTCCAAATCCACTTGTTCATGGTGACTGTTTGATGGTCATCAGGCGCTACTTGCATTAATAATATATATTACATAATCAAGGATAATAAGGTTCTCGTTAGTAATCAAATTAGGTAGTGAATACTTGCAAGTTGCAACAATGGGAGATAAGTAAAACGGTACAACTAATCAACAAACAACACTGATTGATTACATAAACCGATCTTGAGTTTCAACCATCAGCTTAGTACTGATGTCGCCATTTTACAAATCCACTTGTTCATGGTGACTGTTTGACGGTCATCAGGCACTACTTGAAGCAAACACAACCTTTCAAGCTGGTTCAATATAACATGACCCTGATCATCAACGTACTCAGCTGGTCGGTCCACGCCAATTAGCATTTCCATTTTCCACTGGTCTATGATTTCCGCCTTGGAAGCCTGACGATCATCTATCAACAAAGTAGCGGCAGCCAGAAAGCATTGCTTTACAATCTCTTCTTTCAAGCAATCGTACCCAAATTTGAGCTGCTCAACTATCTTATTCTCATCGCCGTGGATGGTAGCAATAGTACCCATGAGCTCATTGACTCGGTTTCTCCATTCAGGAAGGTTATCAATCTTGGTCATAGACCGCGCTATGATTATAATAGCCAACGGCATTCTTGCACACTGATTTGCCACTTCGACAGCAATTCGATGGATTTCCTTATCGTGATTTGACAGCACTCGACTATTGCCCGTATCACTGCATCCAACTTCATGCAAGAACAACTCCTGGGCTTCTTTCTCGCCCAGGAGTTCCATCTTGAGGTTAAGGTCACACTTCATTCTGTTACATACATCCTTGGACAGTGTACTAAATACCAGAATGCAGTTTCCTTTAGCTGGTATTCCTAGAAGTTCATAAGCTAAGAACTCCCTTTTCACATTGTCTAAGAAGTAAACTATAGGACCCGGGCCTTCTATCTCCCCAAGTCTTTCCAATGTTGCCATTATCTTACCTGCATCTCTAGCCTCATCGCGAGCAGCACCATTTCCTAAATCAACCCACATTCCTTGTGCCACACAGGTCTGCACGGCCTTGTTATAGTTACCATTAGAATCAGGATCTGGAGCTTTAGCCCAAAACACCGCCTTGAAATACTGATTGTCGTAGATTTCATTGTAAAGGTGCTTCATTAGATTAGTCTTACCTGCCCCTGCATAGCCGTAAATACCAATGCACCAAAACCCCCCTTCTCTCATGGCTGTTAGAGCAGATGCTGCGTGCCCACGAAATGTCTCGCCCATGTACTGGTCTTCTTCAACAATTAGTTTCACCCCACGCCTTACAACCTCATTGCAAGTCAGGCCTTGATCCACCAAACTTCTCCCCTTGTTCAGAAGATCCCGCCCTTCCCTGTGGTATCGCTCAATACACGGGACATATCTCATTCGCTTAATTCTCCACTGCCTCCCATGGCTTCTGGCCAACAACGACTGTGCTAAACTTATGTACTCTGTGGTATCCTTTAAGTAGGCCTCCACCACCCTCTTGCGCTTCTTCCCAGGATTTGCCTCTTCTTTTCTTGCTTGCTCATCCATGTCTTCAACTCTGTACCCCAGTTCTTGCAGCAAGACTTTCAGCTTGTCGTGACTCGAGTCCACAAACACATATGGTTTCGCGAACTCAATAACCGTTGGCAATATCCCCATTATTACATCCATTATTTTTACACCTCAAGCAGTAACAACCGTCAAATAATATTTCAATGTACTATGATGTCCAAATATTATAAGCACTTGAGCTTCCCCAATTAACTCTGAAACAATAGATAGCTCAAATCACATTGCATTAAAGGTACTGTGGATGTCAGCTTAGCTAGCTTTTTATAGCTAATTAAGCAAATAAGCCAAAATTGATCAACATTACATTATTCCATGAATAGAAGTATAGATTATAGGACACATTTATCCCCCCTTTAATGCATGATCGTGTGTGAGAGTGATGCTAACCTCATCTTTACCATATCACTAAGTTCCTAATATCCTTGGAACAATTTTGTGATTCTCCACTCTATGATTTTCTTAGCCTTGATACACTCTTTATCTTTAAAATACACACATATTTAATCAAGTCTAAAATGAAAACCAAGAACTGATTTCATCTTTCAAAAGTAAGACATAAGCATAATAGTAGATTATCTTAACTCTTCCATTCTTTTTTTGTTTTACTCACTTATTATTCATCATTGGACAAAGCTAAAAAAAAGACTTTGACCGAATGTTGTTACTTTTCTAAATATACATAATTATCATTAGTGATCTTGTTAGATTCATTTTAGTATAATGTATAGTATGTATCTAGATGTCAAATTTTCACAATTTAGTTTATTAGTTAATACTTGTGTAACTAAAGTAGATATATGAGAAATTTGTGAAAAATGACCTTTTAAGTGAAAAGTTTTGAAAAAAAAAATGACCTTTTAAATAGTATTATGTTTTTAGGGGGTACTTAGGTGAGTTTTCTTGGTGGTCAACACTGAAATTCCGGTGTTGACTTTTACGTATTAGTCACCTCAGTTAAATATAGTATGCTTGAGTTAATGAAATTCGTGCAAGTTGTAAACTGGTAAATTGGTCGTTTAAAGGCAAATTGGATGGTTCCACCAACCCAATTGGACTCTCGGAGGATATTAGGAACCATGGTAAACATTTCGGCAATTTTTCTTTGCGGGCGAAAAAAAGTCAAAAAAATTACAAAATTGAAGACTAATATCCACGCTTTTTAAGAAATTTGGAGGTTTCATGGCCCGGTGTCGAAAAGTCTTGAAATTCTAGGGGATATATCTCGGGGTCATATAATGACGTTTGCAACCATATATGATCATTATATGTTGTCATAAATGTTCGTGGTAGGCTTGAGTTAATGAAATCGGTGCAAGTTGTAAACCGGTAAATTGGTAGTGTGAACTGTGAAGGCAAATTCGATGGTTCCACCAACCCAATTGGACTCCCGGGGGATATTAGGAATCATGATAAACATTTCGGCAATTTTTCTTTCCAGGCGAAAAAAGTCAAAAAATTACAAAATTGAAAACTAATATCCACGCTTTAAAGAAATTTTGGAGGTTTAGGAGCCCGGTGTCGAAAAGTCTTGAAATTCTAGGGGATACATCTCGCGGTCATATAATGACGTTTACAACCATATATGATCATTATATGTTGTCATAAATGTTCGTGGTAGGCTTGAGTTAATGAAATCGATGCAAGTTGTATACCGTTAAATTGGTCGTTTAAAGGCAAATTGGATGGTTCCACCCACCCAATTGGACTCCCGAACGGTATTAGGGGTCATGGTAAACATTTTGGCAACTTTTTTTTCTGGGCGAAAAAAAGTCGAAAAATTCCAAAATTGAAAGCTAATATATATCCACGTTTTTTGAGAAATTTTGAAAATTTCGAGGCCCGATGTCGAAAAGCCTCGAAAATTTAAGGGATACATCTCGGGGTCATATAATGCCGTTTGGAATCATATATAATCATTATATATTGTCATAAATGTTCGTGGTAGGCTTGAGTTAATGAAATCGATGCAAGTTGTATACCGATAAATTGGCCGTTTAAAGGCAAATTGGACGGTTTCATCCACCCAATTGGACTCTCGGAGGGAAAGGACCATGGTAAAAAATTCGGAAATTTTTATCACCGAGCGAAAAAAAGTCAAAAAATTCCAAAAATTGAAGGCATATCCACACTTTTTTAGAAATTTTGGAGGTTTCGGGGCCTAGTGTCTAAAATTCTAGAAATTCTAGGAAATACATCTCGTGGTCATATAATGTCGTTTTGACCCATATATGATCATTATTTGTTGTCTTAAATGTTCGTGGTAGACTTGAGTTAATGAAATCGGTGCAAGTTATAAACCGGTAGATTGATTGTTTAAAGGAAAATTGGATGGTTCCACACCCACTCAATTGGAATCTCGGGGGGTATTAGGGGCCATGGTAAGCATTTTGGCAATTTTTAATTCCAAAATTGACGGCTAATATCCATGCTTTTTTAGAAATTTAGAAGGTTTCGGGTTCGTTCCGATGTCAAAAAGAAATAAGATTTTAGAGAACATCTCGGTGTCATATATTGTCGTTTGGAACAATAAATAATCATTATATGTTGTCATAAATGTTCGTGGTAGGCTTGAGTGAATAAAATCGGTGCAAGTTGTAAACTGGTAAATTGGCCGTTTAAAGGCAAATTAGATGATTCCACCCACCAAATCGAACTCCTGGAGGGTATTAGGGACCATGGTAAACTTTTCGGCAATTTTTATAAGCGGGCGAAAAAAATTCAAAAAATTCCAAAATTAAAGTCTAATATCCACGCTTTTTAAGAAATTTCGATTGTTTCGGGCTGGGGCTCGGTGTCGAAAATCATTGAGATATCAAGGGATACATTTCGGGGTCATATAAATTCGTGCAAGTTGTAAACCGGTCAATTGGTCGTTTAAAGGCAAATTGGATGGTTCCACCCAGCCAATTAGACTCGCGGAGGGTATTAGGGATCATGGTAAACATTTAGGCAATTTTTATTTCCGCGTGAAAAAAAGTAAAAAAATACCGAAATTGAAGACTAATATCCACGCTTTTTAAGAAATTTTGGAGGTTTCGGGTAGAGCTGTCAATTCGGGTAAACGGAATGGGTTTGGGTCGGTAAGAGTGGGTCGGGTCAATTCGGATTAGTGTCATAACCTATGTGGGTCGGGTCAATTCAGATTAATTCCATAACCTATGTGGGTCGGGTCAATTCCGATTAATTCCATAACTTATGTGGGTCGGGTTTGGGTTGGGTCATGCTTTAGTCGGGTCACATCGAGTCATACTTCTTAGTGGGTTTGGGTCGGGTTACATTCGGGTCGGGTGAGCAATAGGTCGGGTTTGATTTGGTTTTCACAGGTTAAAACGGGTTAGGGTAATTATCATTTTTATCAAGCTAATTATTTCCTTTGACTATAATATATATGGCAATATACTAGGGAACTATAGTCTATAATTTAGGAAGATAATTATCTCCTTTGACCATACAACAAATATATACTATATATAACTCTTAAATTTGAGGATGATGCTCCTTTCTTTTGCTGGCATGTACCAACTTGGTCTCCCTACACAAATTGCTTTGATCAACAATAATAAGGTGGTTGCATTTAAGGTGATTTGAAATCGGGTTAGGAACAAATTGGGTTGAAGTTAAATTAGGTCGGGTCAATAACAAGTCGTGTTTATTTCGAGTCGGGTTAGTAACAGATCGGGTTGAACTTTTTGGGTCGGGTTAAAAATAGGTCTGGTATTATTCGGGTCGGGTCAATAACAAGTCGGGTTGAATTTGGGTCAGGTCAATAACAAGTCGGGTTGATTCTAGGTCGGGTTTGTAACAGGTTGGGTTAAATTCGGGTTAGGTTAGGAACAAGTCGGGTTAAATACAGGTCAGGTTAGTAACAAGTCGAGTTAAATTCGGGTTTTGACGGGTTAAAACGGTTTTGGATCAATTTCGGTTCAAATCGGGTTCGGTTTAGGTCAATAATTTACGGGTTACATTCGGATCGGGTCATCTCCAGGTTAGTTCATGTTTGGGTTCGGGTCTCACATACTCGGTTCAACTTGGGTCTAGGGTTGGTTTCAGGTCAGGTCAGGGTCACCATTTTTTCAGGTTCAGATGGGTCGGTTAATAATCGGGTTTGATCGGATCGGGTCAACTTTAGACACCTCTAGTGAAAACTGAAAGGCAATTCCAGTTTGAAGCAGGACTTGAACTCCAACAGAATTTTTGATGATTAAGCCATGAACTAGTAATCAAGTTTGCACCCTTTCGTCGACCTCATCTTGATTGTCTACACTGTTCTTTCACAAGAATCACAACCCAAACTTGAAACTCAAAGCCTGTTTTTGTAATCGTGTACAACTTTGTGGCTTGCTACCTCTAACACAAATTATTGATAACACATCCACCATTTAACCTAATCTACTAATCAGGTATGGGCCAATAGTTAAGGTCGGTACACCATAACACCAACAAGCTAAGTCATTAACTAGACTAATTAACCTGCTAATCAAGTTTAATTCGATTGAGACTGTCACAAGTACTGAAGTACACACCCACTAACCTACTGATCAAGCTAGGACAATCACAACTTTCTCAAAAAAGAATATAAATAAAATTCTGACAAAATCGAGTAAAATATCACCTACTAATCTAACCAATTAATCAAGTTCTGTCATCAAAACACCCAATCTAGTTTTTTCTTATTAAAAAAATATACTCAGTAACTATATAATAACAAGAATACAGGGTATAACACATAAAACTTCGGCTAGAGTTGGTTCATCCAAGATGGGCTAGCTGGGGCCTAGGAGTTCACGAATCAAATGAACACTTAGCTTGTGCCAGCCCATCTCTTCGATGGGCTGACCAAGCTAGCCTTGGTGCGTGCATCAGCCGCCTGATTGAGGACTACACCTAAGGCTAAGACGACCGACAAACACGCACTAATAAAACAGATCTAGTCAAAGGATCTGACAAAACAAAAATGTATTGTAACACTCATATCCAAGATTAGTGGAACCAAAACCAATGATGCAGTAGTGTACAAATCAATGTAATACCAGAAAAATATGCAGATCAAATCAAATTAGATCAGATAAGAAACTCACCAAAATTCGAGGTTGTTACAGCCAACTTCACCACCAGTAGGATCCCAAAAGATAAGTAGTGTTCCCTCTAACCTGACAGATTATATGATTGCCAAATAAAGAGAAGAGTTAATAGTATATAAAGGTAAAATTAGTAGTGATAATTACTTTGTACTTATATATATAGGTTAGTACAGTATGAAATCATCACTTTTTTACTGCTTGATTACAAGTGAATACTGAAAAGTTATCTTCTGCTTGGTTCGTTCTGGGAAATGAAGAGGAATGTAATAAGCAGCTTCATAAAGAAAAACCCAGAAATGAAATGACCACAAAAAGGTTTGTTAGTGTCTTTATGATTTTTTTTCGATATAATTAGTCGAGTCTTCTTCGTCAACTCTAAATTTTTTTTAATTTGTTTGGCAATATTTTTTTACTTTTACACTATTTATTTAACGACTGTAATTGAAATTGAAGACAAGGGAAAGAAGTAAACAGGAACGAGTTCGCACATATGGACAAGAGGAAGAGTATACTTTTCCTGCACCCCCCTTTTAATAAAGACCATAGCTTTAAATTTTGTTACTCCCATGTTTGAGTTGATTTTTCTAAATAAAACATTTTGAATTTTTACACAATTAACTTACTTAATTTATTTTGATTAATGTTAATGTTTTAAATGTAAGACAAATTATAAGAATATGAATACTTGTTGGAATTGTTTTAATAGATAATTTTTTATATTCAATTACGGAGTACTATAATTTTTACATTTAGTGATATTATATTATACCATTTTTTTTTTTTTTTGAAGAACATGCATATTTTTAATTTAAAAAAAAAATATCAAGGAGAGCGTTGTTGGTATTTCATAATATGGACACCAACATTTCACTGCCCTCCCCAAAAGTCAAAAGGTAACAAATTGAAAGAAAAGGAGGGAGAAGATGCATGCTTTTCATATATTCTTCTAGAAAAGATTTCTCAAAAATCCATTTTTATAATATTACACGAAATAAATCAAATAGAATCAATCAAAGATGTGCATTGAAAACCATAAAGTCATAATGTAACAAAAAAAAAAAATTAATAATTTATTAGAAAAATTGTCAGAAACCATCTTTTATAACAACTTTTTTTTGAAAAAACACCTTATAAAAATTTTCTTCTAAAAACACACCTAAATTTTTTTTTTTTTTTATTTTTTGCAAAATAACACCTTAACCCGATTTCAAGGGCTTTGACCTTGTTTTTCGGCGTTGACCCTCACGTGGGGGTCACGTGCTCAAACCCCCTCCCTGCCTCCTCAAAACCACTAAAACCGCAGCCTAATTAACCAACCCCAACCACCAACATCACCACCTAGCCGCCATTAAAACCACCTCTCAGCCGCTGACACCACCACCCCATCAACATGTTGCCATCCCACCTACCTAAATCACTATAAACCCACCAAATAAATCCCTTTTCTTTCTTCTTTACCCATTTCCTCTTCCAATTAGATTTTCTCACTCCTCTATTCTTCCTAGCAACCCTTGAATTTTTTAAATTGAAGAGAAAAACTCCATTGTTTTGCTCGAATTGCTGCAAATAACAACCTCAAATAATCTAATTTTGAGTAAGGTAAGTTGCATTACAAGAAATCAACAGTTTTGTGACAGCCAAAATCCGTCGCAAAAAATAGTTACGACAGTCAACCGCTGTAATAAGTTTGTTGTAATGAGGATTGTAGTAAAATTTCATTTTTACGACAATTTGGCTGTCGTAAAAAATAATTACGACAGTTTTACTAATTTCAACGATAGTATTGTATTTTGTCGCTAAAATAAACTTACGACAATTTATAGCCGTCGCAATTTACGAAGATTTAGAAAACTATCGCAAAAAAACAATTGAAAGTGGGGTTAGTTAGAGAGATAAATAACAAAATAGTGTAATGAATTCTTACCAAAAAAAAAAAGTATTGCAATTATTATGAAAGCATATGTAAACAGAAAGTGTTACGATTATTACGAAATGGAGGGGAGTACGTTTTAATATTACTCCCTCCATTTCCCTCCGTTTTTAAATACTTGCTCCATTTCTATTTTTTACACTATTTGTTCGTCTTACTTTGACTAATGTTTGTGATTTATACATAAGAAAAAATATAGTCGTTTGGGTACTTGTTGGAATCACCTCAATGAATAGATTATTAAATTTCAATTGTTAGAATTTATACTTATTGATAATTAAAGATATTATTGATCAAAGATTAGCATTGACATTCGTGCCCAAGAGAATGGAGCAAGTATATAAAAATGGAGGGAGTATATCTTTTCTCTCACAATCCCCACACAAATTAAAGTTACAAACCCATTACTACCTTTCTCTCTCATATTCATTTTCTTCAATAATCTATTCACCCCACTATTTTTCTTTTACCCACAACCACTAATTTTTAGTTTTTACAAAAAAAAATTTAGTTTCAACCTATTCTAATATACTAAATTGAGGCGATTTGAACTGAATATTTTATGAGATAAGAAAATTAGGAATTGAAGTGAACTGAAATTAAGCTAAAGAGAACAAACCCTAGCTATCTAAGGGTATGTTCTCATTGACTGAACTCAGCTGAACTGAACTGAATTGAGCTGAACTGAACTGAGGAGCTGAACTGAACTGAACTGAACTGAACTAAGCTGAACTGAACTGAATTGAACTGAACTGAGCTGAACTGAGCTGAACTGAACTGAATTGAATTTCAACGTAAGAGAACAGGTCATAACTTAAGTAAGTGTAACGTTTTCCCCCTTGTCCCCTTTTTTTTTTGCTCTATTTGACTTTTTTACGATTTTCAAGATGCGTCTTAAAACATACGGAGTAAATAGCTACATTTCCATATAAATATTTTACAATAAAAACTTAATATTGAAATACTTCGTATACAATAGAGCGAATCCAACAAAATATTATTCCCTCCGTCTCTATACAGTTCTTAAATATAATTTTCATTTCTTTTTTTAACGTACAGTGTTTATTGAAAATCACTCATATATAAACCTGATCAAAGTGAGCCCGTACGCTTTTGACTTTTTCCGACCTGAGCTTAGTCCGAATTTTTTGAAAATTTGACGGACTTGAGAAAACAATTTATGCAAATTTAATTGATTTTTTATTGTATGGCCTAAAAAGCCCATATAGACCGACTAATTTGGGCAGATTTGGACAATAAATTTCAACCCAAAACTTGGTCCGATCTGATAAATGGGCTGTTATTTTCAATATCATCCAATGACCATCTCTATTCATTAATCATCAATTTTTTTGTCAACACATATTTTTGACGGGATCAACACATATTAAAACACATGGGGAGTATTAAAAAAAATAAGGACCGAGTATAAAGTTTCTACTTTACCGTCTTTCACGTCATTAATTAATGGATTGTCGGCTACCTACAGACTATAAAGATAGAAGAATACAGATCCAGAACCACAAGATTTTGAGTGAAGATTTTTAAAAGTTGACTCATTCAACCGCGTCTTCGTTTTAAGTGATACATTAAGCAGAGTCGAAACAGGTTTTTAATTCTATCCCATTTTTACTTGTTTTCATTTTCTTTTAATACTGTAATTATTTTCATACTTCAATTCTTAGCTATATTAACTGTTAATGGATTATCTTATTTGATTTTAAAAATTGTTGTTGTGTTCATTAAATTTTGGTTAAGGGAAAGCGAGTGATCCCCTATTTTAGCCTGAAATCTCCACTATTCACTCTTTTTTCTTAAATCCCCATTACTAGCTCTATTACGAGTCTTTTTTTTATAAGTGTATCGGTATGATTAATAATGTTTGTTAATACTCCTTCCGTTCTTTTTAATCTTCTATTAACTGTAGAACAAAACAATTAAAAAAAATTTGATAAAAAAAAAAAGTGATAAAAAAAATATATAAATTGAGTACCTCTTTCCACTTTTTGGGTAGGAAAGAAAAATTTGTGTGAAAACATTGATATCGTCAGTGTGGAAAATGGATTATGTAATGTGAAAATAAAAAGAATCCAAGACTAAGGGCATGTTCTCTATTTCTCTATGTTGAAATTCAATTTAGTTCAGTTCAATTCAGTTCAGCTCAGTTTAGCTCAGCTCAGCTACTAATTTTCTTCTCTTATAAAATATTCATTTCAGTTCAGCTCAGGTCAATTAAATTCAGTTCAGCTGAGTTCAGTCAATGAGAACAGGCCCTAATAGGAAGATAAAAGATACAGGGTTATGAAAAAGTATAAAGCCTTTGATATAATGATGTACTCTTTTTTTTTTTACTTGCAACACTTTGAATTTTACACTATTCATAGTATTTATTCTTAAATTTGAATATAATGACGTGGGATCTTGTTAAATCCATTTTATTTATACTTTAAAAGAAAAATAATGACGTGGGATGTTGTTAGATTTATCTTGATTAACAATCATACTATCTAACTTTGTGACTCTAATCAATGATATTAGTGATTGAAATATTGTTCTGATTAGCTTGAAATGCTTAGGAAGTTTTGTGACTAATCCAACACAATAAATCATATTGCATAATACTTTATCCATTATTTTTACTTGCAATAGTTCTACTATTTACACTATTCACACACTGCATTTTAATTACATTTGTGATTTATACTTAAAGAAAATCATAATCATATGAAATTTTGTTAAACATGCTTTAATGTATACTTTACTATATGATATTAACAATTAAAGTTAAGTACTCCATATTGGTAAGCATGAAAAACAAAAAATGTTGCAATAGAGAGAGAGAGAGGGGAAGGAATGCTTATTTTTTTAGATTTTTTTTTTAAAAAAAATAATTAGGCTAAATGGGTGGGGAGAAGAATACTAAAATGTAGAAGGAAGTTACTATTTATGAAAGTGTTGCATTAGGGTTAGTTCACAATTTGCTATTGGGATGATAGTGATCAATGAGTTGAACTACACATCAGCTACATAACCTTGGCTTGATCAAGGCATGACTTGTGTATACAAAATTATTGTGTTTGTACATCAGCTACACAACCTTCGCTTGATCAGTGCAAGACTTGTGTATTACTAAGCATTGAAGTTTATGACTTGTGAACAAGAGAGTCAAATAGTAAAATTACTAGATTATTCCCGTGCTATGTACGATTTACTAAATAGATAAAAAGAAGAATCAAAACAGAATGTAGAAGGAAGCTATAAAACTAGTAGACAGTGTTTTGACAATGGAGGAAGAAAGAAGGGGCATTGAAAATATTATTTGGGAAGGTGAAAACTTGTATAGTACTCTTTAATTCCTTAATAAGGAGTAATTATTTTTGAAAGCTAAATAGTCACTCAAAAAACCAGTCAATTTTAAAGGGAAAAAAAATGAGTTAAGAAAATGATGTCTAACAATTAATTTAGGGGGGAAAATTTGAAATGAGAGTTGGACATGTGTATAATATTGGAGATTGATAATGTCAGCGGTTGTTATTTTAATATTAGTTATAGATTGAGACATCAGCAAAAGGTCAGGTTGTAATACTGCGAACTGGAAGTAGTATTTGGTTGACGCCTTAACAATACCTAGTTACTTGATCTTGGCTTGAGCCATGAGCTTCCTTCAAGTTCAAAGGTAAGTTGAGCCTAAATTTTCCAAGCTTGACAAGCACGAGCTCGTGTCTAATTAGTGGTGAGCTGAGTCAAGGCTGGACTCTAATCAGGTCCTTGTCTCCTTGCAGTTACAGAAATAGATATGTCTTTCCTTGATGGTGTGTTTCATCAATGAAACAACTTTCTAACCATATTAATACGTTATAAGTGGATTCTTGTAGCTTTTTTCCATTTGTAACATTGAGTGGTAAATTCTAAAAGAATGCTTTGATTATTCATTCAGATAAATTAGATATGAAGTTTTTAGCTTAATTTGTTGCTTAGATGCTTAGTCAAGAAAAGCAATGACAGAGTATATTCTTGTTTCTGTAGATCCAAGTGCTGTCAAGATGCCTTTGATAGTATCTATACTTGATTCAATATTGGCCGTAGTAAGGAACTTCCATGGTGTATTGTGGGATGATGGAAGAAACAATAGAGGGTATGAGACTGTTGATAAGCGATCTGAAATGAACTCTGTGCATTTTCAACCTCAAAACAAGCGCAGGAAAGTGCAGGTATCCTTGCGCATCAACTCTGGGTGTGTTGATAAGATAAGGGGTTGGTTAAAGGATGATGAGATTACTGCCATTGGAATTTATGGGATGGGTGGGATTGGGAAAACTACTCTCGCAAAGGAGCTCCATACCCGACTTACATCCTCTTCTGCTGATAGACATGCTATTGCTTGGGTCTCTGTCGAATTGGATTTCACAGTGTACCAATTGCAGCAGAAAATTGCTGGTGCATTTGGGCTTGATCTTGAAGGTGATAAGGATGAGAATAGAAGAGCAACCATGTTATATGCCTTCCTGTCTCGCTGTGACAAGTGCACACTTTTCCTTGATGATTTGTGGGGAGAATTCCGTAGAGAGGATGTTGGCATTCCCAAGAAATGCAAGCTGATTGTCACTTCTCGGCTAGTTGATGTGTGTCGCATGCTTCATTGCCAAAAAGTCATTAAAGTTGAGTCACTCTCAGAGGAAGAGACCTGGCAGCTGTTACACCATAGCATAGGTGGATATAGTGTTTTGGATTCCAAACAGTTGTCCTATGTTCGGAAGCTTGTGTATAAGGAGTGTGCAGGTCTCCCTCTTGCTGTCACTGGATTGGCCAACAGCATGGAGAGGGTGGTTCATGCTTCTCAGTGGAGCCAAGTCCTTGAGACTATGGATCCCTTTACTATGGGACCAGCTCAGATGGAGAATGTGCTCAGTCAATTGAAGTTGTCTTATGATAGATTGTACAACATCAAGTTGCAGCATTGTTTCTTGTATACTGCATTATACCCCAAAGGTTATGCCATCAATAAAGAAGAGTTGATACGTCTTTGGATTGGAGAGAGGCTCATAGATGATGTGCTGTCATTGCAGGCACAGTACGACTTGGGCCATTCCATAATAAACAAGCTTCTCAACTCATGTTTGCTCGAAGCTTGTCAACATAAAGGGAGCATTAAGATGCATGGCCTTGTTAGGCGTATGGCTCTTTCTGTTTCTAGAGATCGCTTCATGGTGAAAGCTGGCGTACCATCAGGGTTGGAGTTCTGTGGAAATTTCCATGCTGTTTCCTTGATTAATTCGTCAATTTCACTGATCCCATTGAGTACTTCCCTCAACTGTACCAATCTCTCAACCTTACTTTTGCAACACAACCCCTTTGAGGTTATCCCAGAATCATTTTTCTCAAACATGCGTGGCCTTCGTGTTCTGAGTCTATCTGATACTTGCATTATTAGATTGCCCAGTTCCTTCAGTGCCTTGCAAGAGCTTCAAGTTTTAGATCTTAGTTGTTGTCAGAAATTGCAACAAGTGCCCCTACTGTCAAAGCTTCATAAATTAGAGTTTTTGGACCTCTCTCGGACTGCAATTGAGCAGTTTCCCAGCTCTCTTGAAATGTTAAAAAGGCTTAAAGAGCTCAACCTATCCTCTATTCCAGAACCAAATTATTTACCCAAGGGAATCTTGCCTGTCCTGTCCAGATTGAAAAGACTATCATGCCATGTTAAAGGCATCATTCAAGAGCTACAAAATTTGACATCATTGGAAATTCTTGATGCCACTTTTGGCAATCTTTTTGACTTGAGTAGTTATGTAAGGTCTCTGCATTGGAGCACTTTAGAATGCTTTCATCTACAAGTTGGTCGTCAGTTAAGCATAAGACCAAAGAGATCATACAACAGAGCTGTATCCCTGCATGGCTGTACCCTGAGTGGTCGAGGGCAAGAACAAATTGTTCTTCCATATGACATTCAGGAATTATACCTTGAGAATTGCAGTGGTTTTCATAGCCTATCTGATATTGTGAATCCCAACCATGCTTGCGGTTATATAAAACAAGCTGAAATTTTTTCAAGCTTAGAAATATGTACCATCAGTAGATGCCATGATGTTGAGAAGCTTCTATTTCCGGGTTGGATGCCAAATCTTGAATGCCTTGTATATTTAGAAGTTGAAGAATGTGCTCAGCTGAGCGAGCTAATTGTAGATGATGTTGAGGATTGCTGCTATTATGAAGGAAAACGTGCTGTCGTTAAATTCCCTCAGTTAAAGCAGTTAGTTCTTACCTCGTTGCCTGAATTGAAAAACATCTATAAGGGTCAATTAGTTTGTTCATCACTTGAGTCATTAACAGTTATGGACTGTCCAAATCTGAAGCGCCTTCCATTCTCCTGTACGGATGATTTTAAAGAAGTAGTTCCTGCTCTGGAATGGATTGAAGGACAACAGACATGGTGGGATCTGTTGAAATTGGATGATATAAAATCTAAAGCTTTGCTTAAACCATCCTTTAGATGCCGATCTTCCATGGATGTATGATCAACGAAATGAACATATTTGATTGATGATTGAGTTCTGTCATCTCGAAGTTGCCCCAGGACCAAGCGCAGCAAGGTTTCAAAGTTTTTTCTCATATGGGAGAAATACAAAATTTCTGTCCATTTCAGGGAATACTATAAGCCTTTTACACTGTGAACTGACCGCCTTTCTGGCCAAGACGTCTGCACTCAAAATGGTTTGATTCTCATTCTTACTCTTTCTGCTCTTAGTATATGCTTTTCTGTCGTTTTTTTTTTCCTGATGGTTTCTCTATGTTGCAAGTTGCGTTTTTATGGGGTGCAGTGGTTGCATGCATATGTCAAGCAATCACCAACATTGTTAACTCCTCACTTGCCCTTGTTGGTCTCAACAAGGTTTGCTCTTTTGCGCAACTCTCTGGCTTGATAGGGACAGTTCTTCAATTTTAAGTTTAGAGTTTGCAATGTGGTTTAATTTTATATGTTCATTTTTTTTGGTTAAGGTTTTGTCTTGTTTTTTTCTTAGTATGGTTTTGTCCAGTGATTTACTGCTCTTAGTAGCTATAATAGGTCAACTCCAAGTAATTGATGTATATGTATTTTATGTTCCACTTAATTTGATGAGTGAACTTATTGCAGGAGAAAACAAGTGACCAGGAAGAATGAGAACCTGCAACATGGGAGAGCAACCGAGCAAATACCTCTTAGCTGTGAACTTTGATCTACTTGAAAATATACAATATGTAATTTATACTCCGTACTTCTTCTGTTCCTTAAATATTGCAACATTTACCCTTTTAGGAAATTTCGTAATACTACAATATTATACCCATCTTAGGAAACAAGCATTTCCTTTCACACTACAATTACCCAATGCTTGGCTCACATGGATAAGTTTGTAAATATGCCTTTAGCCTTTTTTTGTCTTCCTTTTACCCACCAACTACAATATTGTACACTCCTCCCATGTTGCAATATTAAAGGAACATACGAGTAGCAACTAGCAAGTATGATTTTGGTTTTGTATTTCACAATATTAAAGGAACATACGAGTAGCAACTAGCAAGTATAATTTTGGTTTTGTATTTCACATGAATATAATAAATTTAGGACGTATGTAAAATGTGATCTACCCTTTATCAAGTAATGAAAAACTCTCAGCAAAATACGTAGTAAATGCATTGGCAAACTGTGACAAATTTGGTAAATGTCAATTTGTGTAAATTGGAGAGAATAGTAAAAAAATCATTAGCAATACCATCCTCTGCCATGATCCATGGAAATAGCTACAGTTAGATGAGTTATAGTAGACATTCTTTTGTAAATCCATTGGATTTATTTAATTATGAATATATTTAGGCCAATATTCTATTCGTAAATCCATTAGATTAGCATCTGTATTGTACGGTGATAATAAGTAATTTTTCTTTATTTATATTACATGAAATAAGTAATTTATAAACTTTTAATCATGATCATATGTTTTTCATAAAATATACTTGTTATTTTCTTACAAAAATTATGATAAGCAATCACACTATAAATTTAAATATTTAGGTTATATAATATATTTGTGTTGTTTTAGGTATATACGTATCTGTTTTAGATGAATTTTATTCAAGTTTAATTTTGAGATTATATTGAATAACATAAACGGGCTATAAGCTATGTTTAGCTAATTTTCCGATTAAAATTACACATTCTTTATTCACTTGATAATAACATGTTTTAATTTAATCTATTTGATTCGTAGTAGAATATAATATTTAGCCAATGTTAATATGATATTTACATTTTTTTAATATAACATAAACGGGCTATAAGCTATGTTTAGCCAATGTTAATATAATATTTACATTTTTTAAAAATGAAAACAAAGGTAAATACGTAGTAGATAATTATTAAAAGTCTGTATGTACATCTTTCAATATAAATCTGTCATAACATATATGAAGTAACGACTAACGAGTATATTATAATTAATCTTAACAAATGTTTTAGATGAAAAGATGATGAATTAAGAATCAATAAATTATAACATCATCCCAACTTTAACTGAAATTATATACTACGTATTTAGAAGCCACTCAAATTCACCTTTATCGATATTACACTGGCATTCATCTATGTTCTTCTCATCATCATAGAGGGATAATCCACACTCAGCAAAATACGTGACCGCACCTGCAGTTTTTCTGAATGTTAATGCATGATAGATTGATAGAATGAAATTAAATTGGTCGGAGTAACCATACTATTACACTATTGTATTATTATAATCTTATTAGGATGACTTTTAAGTAACTATACTACTTCGTATTATATTATTATTACTACCTCCGTTACATATTATTTGCAACGGTCTGACAGAAAGTAAAAAGAAAAAATGTCTATTCGTTGCAAATAATATGTAACGGAGGTAGTATTATAAATTTTTTTGTTTTGTTTTGTTATGTAGGTGCACCCAAATATATACTTCGTATAACAAATTTATTGATGATAAATAACATACCTGCATATCAATTCTGAACATCCATCAATTCTTTCAACGTAGAACTTACAACTAGGGCACCTCACCCAACGTTTATCCTTAGCAAGGTTCCTAAACAAAACATCCTCATTAGCCTTCTCATTATCCTCTAATTTTTCAAATGCCTCACAATCCATCCCATGCCATGCTACGATGCATTTCGTGCAAAACTCTCTCTCGCAATGTGGGCACTCCACCTTCACCTTTGTCGATTTTTCGACCCCACATGAGCCCTCCTCTGCCTCTAGGAGGGCTGCCGAGCAATCCTTGAATGGGCAGTATAAACTTGTAGATGATAAAATCATCGATTTCAACAAACTCTCTTCCTACCTACACACCCAACATTCAACATGTAAAATTAAATACAAGTATTTTCATTAGTCATGTTTTCAAATTTATGTAAAACACATAAACACAATCAAATACCAACCTATCCAGAACAAGTTTGGGGATAATGTTGATGCAACAATCGAACTCGATTTCCATCTTGCAATCGACATCAAGGCACTTGATAGAAGTGATGTTTTCTTGAACCTTAGCATCAATGTTCTTAGAAATACAATCTACACAAAAAGTGTGGGAGTAAGTAGTTGTAGTAGTAGTAATACTAGGATTATTTGTGAATTTGTAGGGTTGGAAGATGTTATTTATTGGCCTAATATCCATGCATATGAGGCAATTAAAAGTTTCGGTATTCAAAGAAAGGTAATTAAGCTCCATTGTTTTGAATGTTTATAGCCTCAATCTCCTCCTCCTTCGTTTCGAAACATCCTACACTTCCTCTGTTCTTCCTCTTAGGCATGCCTCTGATTAAAGCTTGCCATCCTTTTATAGGGTTTTTAAGAAGCTAACACTTTAATTTCTCGTATTGTATGGATCAAATATATAAAATAAAATAAAAAAAGAAAAAAAAATATTGAACATTGATTTTAGTGAGTTTATATCTTCTGTTGCAGTAGATGCTTATACGAAATATATTTCAGTGAAGTTCTCAAAACGCGTTTATAAGTTCACACATCATCTGAAACGTTAGGGAAGAAGAAAAAAGAAGCAAGGCAGAGACAAAAATTGTAAAAATGATAATAAGGCACTTTACACTGTTGTTAGACAGAGGAACAACAATGTCAACTCCTATTAAGAATTGAATGATCCATCACTTTGATAATGCCACATCTACCTAAATACAAATCATATGCTCTAATTATTTTACACTAGACCTTTTTTCCTGGGATCTATTTCCTATTCCTGTGGATAAACTCTGCCATCATTCACGGTGCCTCCCTTGATAAGGAAAAAAGGACTGCTAAAAAAACAAAACTAAAGTTATATTGAGATTAAGCTTTCGTGTTTCACCTCCTCCTCGCCTCACTGTTTCTCCATCCGCTTTCTGTGTATTGCCTGCCTGCCTCCTCTGTTTGGTGTATCGTCCATTTTCAAATATCACCAGAAATCCCTCAATTGATAACTCCTTCCCCAGGATTATCGAAATAATTTTTCAACCATGGGAGCAAAAGTACTCCCCTAGGTAAAAGGATGAAAAGAAATTCGAAAATATGAGTATCACACATGTCTTGAATACGCAAGACTTTCTGAAAACCCGTTCGAGGGCTTGTGCAACTTCTTCCTGAAATTTGTGACGCTGCAATGTGGACATATGTACTCTAATCCATCTGTTTTTGCATAATCCTGCAAAATCGAAGATGACACATTGTTGGAATGTTGGAGGCTAAGTAAAAATCCAAGTACATTTCCACTATTAGCAGATTATAAAAACATACTACTGTGTACTATATTAGACAATATATTTACCTTAAAAGCGCCAAGACCTTGCCGTCTATCACAACCAAAGTGAGCCCACTCCCCACATATACCACAATTGACCCAATCACCAGCTGCGCTACTGTTAATAGGTGGTAGAGAATGAATGAAAAAATGTTCCAAACGGAAAGCAAAAAAAACACAATAACATAATGACTAATGAAACTAATGGACAATACTAAAATTTAAGCACATACCTATGGCATAGCAAGCAGCATTCTCCATCAACATCATCGTGAGCCAATTCATACTCTAGTAAGTATGTTTCATAATGTCGTTTGAGAGTGTTTCCAACACCCTGCCAAAATCACAAGCAAACATCAATAACATCTTACAATTTCAAGTCTGTAGAGAAAATTTACACAAATGAAGTCATAGCAATTGCCTAAAGCTAATAAGCTCAACTATGGAATCAAGGAAAACAATCGAAATCGAAAGAATGTAGGATAAGAAGTGTATTATACAAAAGACCACAAACAGCAACATATCAACAAAAAAACACCCACAAGCCCACCTCCCATATAGTCCACAATATGACACAGGGACCAGAATCAAGGGAGACGAGTGCCCTCAAGTCCTCAACTACAACTCTATAACATGAGCTATTATGAGGAGTAAAAACAGAGCCAATGAGAAATTTAGGATAGATGTGAAAACTCAGATAACAAAGAAAAACAAGGATAAGATGCACACAGAGAGTGAGTTGCAACATGACAATAGGGAATTTCACAGGATTGGTAATAAGTACACACATGCAAACGATATGACCATAGATAAATCTATAGACAAGTATATCTGTATATTCACATATGTTATTATGTAATAAATTAATTGGATTTGTCTCCTTGTACAGTTTTAAAGATAGCAAATTTTTTAAAAATTTAACAATCCATAATACGAAATTAATACATATACCTCATGTGAAAAAGCATTTAAACTTCATGTTCAAATGATACGATTATAAAGTTAAAGCCCCAGTAATATGGTAGTTGGTAAAGAAAAATATTAGAGGATAGTGCCGATCTAACTAAACTAACTCGCAATAAGAAACAGAGGAAAAATTAGATAAAGATGGTAATTGGCAGTGGGCTTTGAGCTAAGAGCTGCATAGATGAGGAGGAAAGCAGGCATGGAAAAAATTAAAATTGATGACAAAAAGAAATAATGAAGAGAGAAAGAGAGGTAATTCGACCCAATTTTAGCTGGACAAGGGTCTCAGCAATAACTATTTAATTTAGCATCTCTAATTAGTTCAGAAATTAAGATTTTGTGATTAGGAATTTGATTAGGGTTCAAATTAAACAATTGAGTACTTAGTGACTTCTTATTAACTTTGAATCTTAAATCCTAGGTAAGATTTTAATTTAAAATCAGGCCTTTTCTGGATTTCAATCAAAACCTTCTCTCTTGCACATGTCTACTCTAAAGGCTCCCAGTCCTCTCCAGAGTAGCTCAGCAAATGTTGAAGACGAAGCATACCTTAACAACACAATCAGGTTGAAAAGTTTTGCACTTTGGAAATCATAAAATTCAGAACTTAAACAAGTCAGAATTTCCAACGGGGCTTCAGAGCTCACATGGGATTGAACAGGGTCATGTCACCAAGGAGGGAAGAGGGGTAAAGTATTTGAGATTCCCAACCACAAGCAGGGGAAGTAGGGAGAAAACAGTATGAAGACCCCTCCCCCTCAAAATGAGGTACACCCCCAACAAAAGAGGATACATAGCATAACAAAAGGATGAGAGGCGGAAAAAAGAAGACAAAATTGTAGCCCTAAGATATACTTGTATTATAACATTGCCTAGGAGAGGAAGAAGATAATTTACATACTAGAAAAAAAAAAAAAAAAAAAAAAAAAAAAAAAAAAAAAAAAAGCAAGACAGGAAGAATCAGAGAGCATACAGTCATTTTATTGGTTGCAGTGTAGTTTCGCATCTTCGAAAAAACTTGCCCTTTCCAGTTGATTCCATTGCCAACATGAAAACCTCCTCTTGAAACAACCTGAAAGCGAAAATAATTCAGCTTATTCTCCAGAAACAAACATGGTAAATTAAAGAAAGATGACCCCTCTCTGTCGATTTTTATCCACATCACTACATCAGCATACTGCATTAATAGCATCAGTTACACATTATAACATCAGAAGAAAAAACAAAATACCTCTCGATACAAGTTGTATAGGTCCAGACGTTTAGAGTTGAGGATGGCATCAGGGAACTCTGCTAGCCCACCTTGAGGGATGAGCCGACTGTGTCCACGATGCATAAGAAATTGCATTACATCTTTCAAGAACTCGTCCTGAAAATGGAAAGTAATTAGTCTAAGATGACCCAAGATTCAGATAAAACAGTAAGGACTACTTTAATCAGGACAAGCGATTTGATGTACATCATATTGCAGAAATATAATCAACCCTGGACAAAATTTGCAACAATCTTGAACTTTCCAATATCATAAATCATCAAATATCCAAGTGGATTACTTTGTTATCCCAAAAAACAAAACTAGTAGATTACTTTGTCTAAGATAATGCTCATGGTAATGCGTAGGTCAGGGAGTATTGCATCTTCCAATTTTAAGATCCTACAGCTAAAAGATGCAATACAGACCTGATAAATACCATCACGGTATCAGACACAGTAACAAGAAATTAATAATTTGTGCCAGACATTACAGAGTGTAAACTAAGCCAGGTTATAGTGTTATGATTTCAAAAGTGGGAAACCTTACCTCTGAACATAACTGGATAGGTGGTCTACCGCAACCATGTTTCTTCAAAGGTATGGGATTTAAGGATATGATCTGCTTCGCCTGAAAAGCATTTGTTGCCCTTCTATTTGGTGCAGGATTTGATGCTAATACACTATGTTTTGTTGGTGGAAGCGCTGGCAAACTAAGCTTCACTTGACCAGTATCATAATTATCTGCCTGCACTATACCCGTAAAAGGCATCATTTTCCGAATATTAGATTGAGGTATGGGCCTCATAGCTGCAACTTTTATCTTCTGCCGGATGGGAAAAGCTGGATTATAAGTCCCATTATAAAATCTAGTTCCTTTATCTTCTTGCTCAGCTTTTGTTGTAGCAGCTTGATTTTCAGACAGATAACAATCATGTGAACAAGGACTTGACCCTTGACCAGTTCCGGAAATCTTTCTGCTTGGAGGAGGTGGTCTAAGCCAACTAGGTGGAGCAGTGAGATCATCATTATGCGGATGCCTATCTGTATCCTGATTTGCGCAGAAAAAAAGTAGCCGTTCAGCGTCATCTTTCTGAAACGAAGCCACAGCCAATCCTTGAATGCTTGCAATTCCAAGGGCTACCAGGCTATGGTAAGATGTCTCCGGCGCCAGCTGCCGCAATACCTAAAACATCCAATAATGGACCAAAAAAATGTTAAAACAGGAAAATAATAATAAAAACAAAAAAAACAAAGACAACCAAGATACAAAAATACAACATCGATCTTTAGAGGCATTAAGAAA